AACTATTAACACATTAAATATATGAGAAAAAGATGTTCAGATATTTGCTGTCAATATAACAGATATCAAAAAAGCATTAAAAAAATTAGAATTTAAAAATTTTAAGAACCTTTGCAAAGAACTCTCTGAATCATATAAAGATTACACAGATATGTTTAATAAAAAAACAGTTGAAAAGCTCTCTTTTTACTGAGAATATGATATAGATCATACAATCAAATTTATCAAGAAAAATAATAAAAACTTATAATTATTTTAAAATCTTCTCTACAACATATCACACAACAAACTTCTCATTTCATAAAATCAATCAATAAATTATTGAATAAATAAAGAATTCATTTGTATTAACAATTCATTTACTGCAATATCTGTAGTATTTATAAAAAAATCTGAAGAAGACTTATGATTTTGTGTTAATTAAAGATTTAACAAAATTAGATGAGATTTGATATTCTCTTCCACTCATCAATAAAACATTTAAATAAATAAAAAAAGTAAAATGATTTACAAAATTTGACATCTCTGCAGTCTTCTATAAGATAAGAATTAATAAAGATGATGAATGATTAACTGTTTTCTGTATGCACTATGAATTATACAAATGAACAGTAACTCTTTTTGAATTGATGAATATTTCAAATAAATTTCAGAAATATATTAACTGAGATCTACAAGATCTATTCAATGAAATTGTCTTAGTATACATGAAATATTTTAATTTTCACTGATGAATCATTTATAAAGTATTTTAAATATATATGACAAGTACTTGATCATCTATATGAATCAGAATTACAAGTGGATATTGATAAATGCAATTTTAAAATTAAATTTATAATCTATTTAAAATTCATCATCAAAGTTGAAAAAGATGTATGCATGAATCTCCAGAAAGTGAAAGCAATTTTTAATTGAAAGATATTGATTTTGATAAAAAAGATTTTTATAAAAGCTTCCTAGAAGTTATCAATTTTTACTGAAGATTTATCAAGAATTTCTTAAATATCATACAATCAATGACAGATTTGATTTAAAAAAATGCTGTATTCCAATGAATTAATGAAAAGCAAACACTGCTTTCAAAAAGTTAAAATATATATTTACAAACACTTCAATATTGCAATCATTCAATCTGAATAAGTATATAATTCTTGAGATAGACTTTTCTGATTTATGTGATTGAGAGAGTATTAGTGTAATATGACAATGAAGATGTTCTATAACTCTGTATGTTCATCTTAAAAAAGATATCTTTCATTGAATGTAATTACAAAATCTATAATAAAAAACTTTTGATTATCATACAATGCTTAGAGAAATGAGAGTTGAAGCTCATGAATATTGAAAAGTTGGAAATCATCACTGATTATAAAAATCTAAAATACTTCACAATCACTCATAAACTCATTGAAAGACATATGAATTGATTGTTGTTTCTTAATCATTTCTCATTTGCAATTCATTACTGATCAGAGATGGAAAATGTTTTTGTAAATGTTTTATTTCATCAAAAACAATATATCGTCTGATAATTTAAATGATAAATGAAAATATTGAAAACATCAATTAATTGATTCTGCAATCATAAAAAGTCTCACACAGTCAGATGAACTCTATCTACCTCTGCATATATGTTAATTAGTTTCAAACTAAAGATTCCTCATTTAAAAAACAATGAAGAAAAGCAGTAGAAGCAGATGAGATCTGATGATAAATTGTTGAAATTGTATAAAGCAAAACATCACAATTTCTTTCAAATATATATTTAAAATTGAACATCTCAATATACTCAATTGATAATGATGACACCATCACCACTCAAAAATTTTACTGATTGAATATGTTAAAGAATATACATCAGTTCATAACATAACTGCAATTATTATGACTTGATGACAGCATGATATATATGAGCACTGAAAAGAAATACTGAAGCTGTTATCGGTTTCTGAATAAATATGACAAAATATAATCATCAATTTCACAATTTTCTTATCTGAGAGCAGAGATTCTATGAACATTGTAATCATTATCAATCATCTCAATAAAAATATAATATTATAATTGTGTGATAAAATGAATGTTGAGATCATTGCAGATGCTTTTATCAAAAATTCATTCTATCATATACACAATCTATCTTCATTCATTGCATCAAATAGAGATAGTCAGTTCATCAGCATTTTTAAACTCATATATATCAATTGTTAAAGATTAAACAAAAATTGTCAAGGGTGTATCATTCAGAAATTGTCAGAGTTATTGAAAAAATGACATAAATAATTAAGAACATTCTCTGAAAGTTCTGTAATTACACATAAAACAACTAAAACAGTCTGTTATCATATATTGAAATAATTATAAACAGTGGAGATTCTGTCATGTATGTATATATGTATAAATTTAGCATCTCAGAGGAGTTGTAGATAACACTCACATTTCAGAGATTTTCCGAAAAGCATGAGAACATGCTACACTGAAGAGATTTCTATGTACATAAGAAGAAAAAACAGGATTCAGATGACAACTCTTGAAAAAAACTCACTATAAATTGACTGTTCATTCACTTTTGATTTGATGTATGATCATAGCTATAATGTGATCTTTTTTGAAAAGGTCATTGCTGCTGTGTCTGAAAGATTAATAAAGAAGATAAAGAGAGATTGAACTCTTTGATTGTCAGAGAGCTATATACTCTTTAACAGAAGAAAAGAAAAAAAACAGAAAAAGTGAAGCAGAAGAGAAAAACAAAGAAAATGTAAAAAAGAAAAAAGATATATTGAAAAATGCTGAGGATCCACACAAATAAGAAGCAATTGAACTGAATGTACTGATTGAATTGAATGTATTGATTGAATTGATTGTATCAATTGAACCAGCTGTACTGATTGAATTGATTGTGTCAAAATTAAAAGTAATTAAAATGAAATAAATTTCAAAGCAAAAGTAACAAAATAAAAATAAAAATAAAAACAAAAATTAAAGCAAATACATAGAAACAAAAGAAAAAAAGAAAAACAAAAATTGAATTTATTATCAGATCAAACTATTCAATTGAAATCTTGTAGCAATATTTGATTCTTTCAAATATTCAATCAAGAATTCATTTCCAGTTTTTGTATTGAACAAAAGTTTTAAATTTAACTGTGCCAATTCAAACTTCTCTCTCAATCTCAATCTTAACTCTGTATGCTTTGTACAAGGTAAAAGAAGATGCTCTAGGTTTTCATATAACTGACAATTTGAATATAAATCACTTAAATCATTTCTAATCTTTGTTAAATATGATTTAAAATAACCATGTCCAAGTTTTAGCTGCATTATTGTAGCAAAAAGTTTCTTTTTACATTTTATTGAGCAAGCTTTCCATTTTGGCTTAGTTTCAAACCTGGAATAATGTACACTCTTTTTTTGTAAAAACCAGATATCTTGCCATTTTTGCAAACATGATTCTCTTATTTTTCTCTTAATATAAGCCCATGTTACAATTCTTTGGAAGCAGACTTCCAATCCAGTTGCTTTTTTTACAGCTTTATCAGCCATTTCATTGCCATATATACCGATGTGAGCAGGCACCCAGTGAAGATGAATAGAACAATTGAATGAGATTTTTCTTTGAATATTTTGAAGACTTTTCAAAATCAGCTCTAGCATTGACTGTCCACTGCTGATTTTATTACTTTGAAGTCTTTTAAGCCCAGCTTGACTATCAGAGAATATCCAAATATGCTCAAATCTTTTCCATTGTTCAATCTTCATCTCAACCAATTTGAAAGCTCTTGAAATTGCAAATAATTCAGCATTAAAACCTTCTGACTCTTTTCCAATTTGCCAACAATCAAGAATATAGTTTTTATCATTTTCTGAATATGCTATTCCAGCTCCAGGATTGCCTGTTTTCTCACATTTTGAGCCATCAGTGTATATAAGAATTGCTTTGTTTTTCATTTGTTTTAGAAGATATAGATGTTGTTCAGTCTGAACTTCTTTTGAAAGTTGACTAATATTTAAATCAATAAGACTGACAAGATCTTTCTTCCAAGGAGAGAGATTTTCAAAGACCACTTTCTCCACATTTAACTAGAGAAACCGTTTTTTATCATGGAGCAAATTCTAAATAACTGAGATGGTATCTTCTTTCTTTGCACAGATTGAATTATCAGATGAATTTATTTCATTCCAATCAAAATATGACTCCCAATTCAGATCTACTCCAGTTGATTCACTTGGAAAAGAAGTCGAGACTCTTTTTCTAATTGAATGATTGGGATATAACTTCATAATTCTGAGTGCATAATTCATACAGATTTTATCAAATCTCACTTGTGGTAGTGATCTGGCTGAAAAAGGCCTGCTGTTTGATAGATTTTGTGTATAACTCTGTATAACTCACCAAGAGTGCCAAGCTGGCTTCAAAATCCACTTTATAGAGTTCAACAGTGTAATTAATTGAAAAAGTGGCAAATTTAAACTTAATCAAGTTAAATCTGTACTGTATACGAAGGGCGCTATCAAAAGAATTGCGCCAGCAAAAAGACAGCTAGACAGCGCCACAAATCTTGGCAGAAATTCCCACTGTATTTTATACTGAATATTCAGATCTTGATTTAATCTGCCTGCCAATCCGCCACCCCGCGTAGTCAGTTGAGTATTCTATTCCTCCACCTGCCCGTGCCGCCTTCCTTCTCTATACTCATTGCCACCTTCTAACTCTATAATCTTTTGAATATGTACAGAAATCCGCTCAATCTATGCCTGTATCTTCTCCTGTGGCAGATCCTTCTATGCCTGCTCTCATACTCTAACTGCTTCTGTGTGATTCTTAGGAGCTCCTTTTTTCATCATTCTGCGCTTCATCCAAGGCCAAGCTGCTTCAATTGCATTGAGATCCGGCGATTTACCACACCAAAGCAACTGTTGAATGCCATAAATGTTGTACATATAACATTGAATATAGTGATCATGAGATGGGGCTTTATCCTCCTACACAATGGTATTCAGACGATCAATTTGACACTCTTTTGCCAAGGGGAAAAGCTTTGGTAAGAGGTTTTGAACTTGATAGCGATACCAATCAATTCCACTACCTTTTCCGCGAGATAGCTTGCCTGTGACTTTTTTGAACTTCCATATTGGTTTTTGACCTGGTTGCTGATGATCAATCCGTAGTCTTTGTATCCCATTTGAGAGCTCCCATTCTTGCTTCTTTATAGGTTCTATCTTCATGTTTAAAGTCTCAATATACTCAAGGGATTGAGCACGCTCCTGCAAGGTTTCCCTGCTCTAACAGTGTAATGGACCCTTCTTGTCATATGAGAAGCAGGCCCAGAACATGAATTCAGAGGATCCCTTCCATCATTCACATATACAGCTTTGAGAATACACCTCATGAGGCGCACGCCATATTCTATATCCACCTCGTCGATGAAGAAGAATAACAGAGGTTTCATCTGACCATATGACATTCTTCCAATCCTCCAAGGTTCAATTCTTATGCTCCAGGCAGAATTGAAGTCGATCTAACCACATCTTCTTAGTGAGTCCTGGCTTCCACGTAGGCTTTATTTTTCGAAGGCCTGCTTTGCGAAGAATCCTCCATATAGTCATAGAAGATATCTCAATTCCTTCATTACTGAATTCATTGGCAAGATCAGTATAGCTCTTTTCTCGTCCATAGCGATCATGTTGAACCTTTACAAGAATAGCATCCTTAATGCTATCATTTCCCTGAGTTGGTCGGCCGGATTTGGAGGCATCTCTAAGCCATTCATCGCGAAGTATCATATAAGGCAGTTCAGGGTTAAATCCACGTTCAATTGTGTGTTTATATATACAGTTGATTTGACTCTTTGAGATCTGGGTGATTTCCGTGATTTCAGCATTTGACTTGCCAAAATAAGGTGATTTAAGAGCCACCACAAAAGCTCTTGTGGCAATATCGGTATTGGGTGCCATATATTTTAACAGTCATGAATTGTCAGATGGGATGCCAGAGATGAGAAATTAGAGAAGAAAGAGGAATCCATTCTTAATACGTGGCAATCTCATATAAATAGAATGCGGGGTGATTTGAAGCTAAATGTAATTACTCATTAAGACGTGGTGGCGCTTCTTAGCGGTATAAATGGAATCTGAGCGGCGCAATTCTTTTGATAGCGCCCTCCGTACACTGAAACAAGTTATGATTTGTGTTGATTCAATCCAGTGCTGGCCAGCTTGGAACCTGCAAATATTATCAAAAATCAAGAATCATGATGAGCAACAATGACAATGCAATTCAGAAGGCAATACAACAGTATTTATATTGTAGATAATAATTAATCAGATTTGCTATTGTAGAAGTGATTCATCAAAGCATTTCAACTATCTTATCTAGCATATAATTCATATATTTTGATTCATTTCATGAATTTCAATTTACCATTCAATTGTTGAATCCTACCTCCCACTCACTGTATATTAAGAATATGACACAGATGAGTATCAATACATTCATTGCATTGATTGATTGACTGAAAAATAATATTGATATTTATGAATCTGAATCAATACATGCTATAAAGATTAAGCAGAAGGTTTTCATATTTCTGTATATTATAATATAAAAAATGAGCTATTAAAACACTGCAGAGATGTTTCATCATTCATTAAACATAATATTCAAATAAGTATAAATGATAAAATACTCATCAAATTGATGTTATATTAATAACTTATATAAAGTTTTTCATGAGATTTTGAAATTACTCTGTGTACTCTATAAACATTATATCAAGATGCTTAAATCTTCAATGAAATATAGTAAAAAAGCTCTTGATTCAAATTCATAATATTGATTTTTCTTTAAAGAATGTATTAAAGCTTTAAATAAAACTCATTTATTTGTTTCTATTTTTTAAAATTAGCAATTTATATGATAAAATTGAAAGAAATGAATATCTCAAAATATTTTCACTGCCTGTGATTATAATATGAACTTTGTATATATCTACTCTGAAATGAAAGAATCTTCTTATAATAGTAGAGTTCTTTCACAGATGCAGAGAAGAGATCAATTTGAAATTATATTATTTAATTATTATTTTTTAACAGATGTTAACTATTCACAGAAATTCAGCTTGATGTTAATTTCATATTTAAAAATTCAATATCATTTAAAGAAATGAGAAAAAGTGAATTTTCAATTTGTCAATGTTTCAAGAGCTATATAATCTTCATCATGCATGTTTATGAAATGTAATTGAATATGTGTTTGAAGTGTTTAAATAGTGATTTCAAATTTATGATTGATGTCAAGATGAATTCTCTATAATAATTCAAATTAACCTGATTTTTGCATTAGCAGCAGTTCATAACTTCATGAATCATTATAAAAAAAATGAATGAGTTTATTCAATATGATGAGAATTCTAATATTGAGAAGAAAAGAAGAGAAACAGTTTCTGCAAATGTTTAAAAAAATAATGATGAAATAATGAAAAAATGAAATGATATTGTTAAGCAGATGTGGAAGCAGTATAAAAAATATTTGAATGGAAATTATAATAACAATTAAATGAGCTAGTTAGTTTTAATAAAGCAATCAAATAGATTGAGTACTTTTCACAGCAATATTGATATTTCAAACAATCTTCTCACTTTCATTGCAGTAATATATGTATTTTATCGGTGTATTTGATGGTATATAATATGTGTTGTAATTTATCGATCAATAAAATTAACATATTTACCTAACCTTCTCATACAAAAAATAGTGATGTTTTATAACCATGTTATTCAATGTAAATACTATTATTTTAGTAATTTATCAAAGAAACCTCTCCATTCATTTTTTATTTCATTAATACTATAGATATAAAGAAGTTTTCATTATTATTTTTTATCATTAATTTCACAATTATTTTTGTCATTAATTTTACAATTATTTTTATCATTATTTCTGTCATTATTTCTGCCACTACTTCTGTCATTGTTTTTTCTTCATCTTATTACTTCTATTACTGCTTTTCTGAATCAAATAAAATCAATATAAAACTTCATTGATTTTTTATTGACTCTGCACTATAATCAAGATAGAGATCTGATATATTTGAATTTTGAAAAAGCAATGATATTTTGCTATATTGTGAATAAGAAATTCAATTATCAATCTTTCAATTCTCTGAAAATAAATTCCGAACCTCATTTAAAAATAATCTGATTGTTTATTTAATATTATTTGACTGTTCAATTTTTAATTTAATTGTTGCAGATTCTTTTATAACTTTTCTCAGAGTATTAATATTGTTTTCAAAATTTTTTTTTAAATAATTGATGTCAAATACTTGTTTCAGTTGACATTCTCATAGATGATTGAGATGAGTTAATAAAGTTTTAATAAATTGTTTTAAAAAATTCTACAATAAATGTAAATATTAAGAAAAATGTAAATGTGAATATCAATTTTTTTTTTTATTTCAATATTATTAATATTTTCACCCATCATCCCTTCTCTTCTTTTTTGTTGATAAATGTAATATTTTATAATATAATTATTTATTGTCAATCAATCATCAAACAGTTCTCTAATGAGTTCTGAATACACAGATTCTTAATGTTGAAATTGTTGCATTTTTAAATGTTGATTAAAATACACACTGATAATTTCAATATCATTGATAAATGTTATTTTTTTTGACAGAATGACCATTCAAATATCTATTGTTGATGTTTATATCATAACTTTCAAATTATTTTAATGTTTCATCATTGGTTCTTATATATATTTTTGATAATAGATTGATGTGTATGCTGATTAACAGCATCAACAATTGAAAGTTAAACAACATTTTAATAATTATTGTTGTCTGTCTTCAAACCTTCTTTTTTGACATCAATGAAGGTATTGAGCATGGCCAGCTTCATGTCAGAGGTTCAATCAGTTTGAACTCATGAGTCTCACTGAATTCATTGAATATAAAATGAGGAGGCTCACTGCATGGTTTGAGTGATTAATGTTGAGAATTCAAACTGCTGACTTTTGTTTATCAAGAATTCATCAAGATATTGTGATACTGAATCAATTTGAGACTCATCAAGATTCATTTTTCACTGATATTTGATGTGAGAAAGTAGTAATATAATGGGATTTTCAACTGCAACACATCCACTAAAATCACATGATAATCATCATGATAAAAAGCACTCATAATTAATAAAAGTAATGCTAGAATGTCAAGCAGATTAATATTCATATAGGCAATAATGAAGGTTTACACCGTCAAAAGGCAAATATCCACTTTCTGTACAGCCCTGGCACTGTACAGGCAAAATCACCGAACAGGCCCTTAATATAACTAGTTCTTCAATTCTTGTTTTTAATTCTTGAGCAAAACCGGGCTTGTGAAGTTGTAGGCTTACATAAGAACCCTGTTGCTTGAGAGCTTGTTTCTAGCCCCTCCTCGGCATGTGACACCTCTACGAAGATTGTTTACTCAACCTCCTCAGCTTCTTCTCTACTTCACGTTCTCCACCCCACAAAGCTCCATCCCTCGTAGGTCAACTATCGCTCCTCCACTGTCATCCTGTAATCCCACCAATTCTCATCAGGTGCACCTAAATTAAGTTCGATATACCCTTCAATCCGCTATTTCAACCAATCCCGCTCACCTATCTCCCGCCGAAAACGTAGTCATCATGGTCAAAGCAGGTTGGTGATGCTCCCAACAACTATCGCCCTATCTGGGAAATATGCGTTTCTAACTAATTTACTAGTTGTTCTCGGTGCTTCTGGTGGCATTGGCCAGGTATATACTTCCTATATCGACTGCAAGACACCCAGAACAGTCAAGACATAAAAACCTCTTGGTCCCCGCTCAATCCAGCAGATGACGAAACACTGACCTTTATCTCAAAATATCTCTAGCCGCTTTCCCTCCTCCTCAAAGCCAGTCTTCTCGTTGATGAGCTCGCGCTTTACGATGTCGTCAATACACCAGGTGTTGCTTCTGACCTCTCCCATATCTCCACCATTGCTGTATGTATGCATCATTTCACCACTACAGCTATAGAAATAGAATACTAAAATGGTTGTACAGACTGTCAAAGGATATCTACCCAAAGACGATGGCCTTAAAGACGCTCTCACTGGCGCTGATGTTGTTGTCATTCCGGCTGGCATTCCTCGTATGCTTCCCCCATACATACCATATCCAACTATTCTCGAGCTGAATTAACTACTTTTCACCCTAATAGGCAAACCCGGCATGACCCGCGATGACCTGTTCAAAGTCAATGCTGGCATCGTTCAGACCCTCGCCAAGGGTATCGCAGAGCACAGTCCTAAGGCTTTTGTCCTCATCATCTCCAACCCCGTCAACTCCACCGTCCCTATCGCCGCTGAGGTTCTCAAAGCCGCTGGCGTATTCGACCCAAAACGCCTCTTTGGTGTCACTACCCTCGATGTCGTCCGTGCCGAGACCTTCACTCAAGAGTTTACTGGCCAGAAGGACCCGTCCAAAACTATCATTCCCGTCATTGGCGGCCACTCCGGCGAGACCATCGTGCCCCTTTTCAGCCAGGCTAAGCCTGCTGTCCAAATTCCTACTGATAGATACGATGCTCTTGTAAACCGTAAGTGGAAATTTTGTCACCTGTAAGTAACAAATGCATTTTACTAGTCGCTGATTAAGGAAACAGGCGTCCAATTTGGTGGTGATGAAGTGGTCAAGGCCAAGGATGGAACTGGTTCGGCCACCTTATCTATGGCTTACGCTGGATTCCGGTAAGTTCCTCGCCCCTTCAATCTTGAGTATGAAATGTACTGTCCATTGACTTGTAATGAACCCAGCTTTTCTGAGAGCGTCATCAGAGCTTCCAAGGGTGAGTCCGGCATCGTTGAACCAACTTACGTCTACCTTCCCGGCATCCAAGGAGGCGACGTCATCAAGAACCTAGTCGGCTTGGACTACTTTTCCATCCCCGTAGAGCTCGGCGTAAGTAACTTTAATTGCTCCGATGAATCGGTTTTGTAATGGTGCGGACGGGCTGATGACATTGCGATTTGTGAAAACAGAAATCCGGCGCTGAAAGGGCCCTGGACATCCTAGGCGGCATCACGGAACAGGAAAAGAAACTCCTCGAAGTCTGCACCAAGGGCCTCAAGGGCAACATCGAGAAAGGCATCGACTTTGTCAAGAACCCACCCACAAAGTAAACTCCAACCCTCCCATTTGCTTATCCTCTTCCTGTTGCCCATCATTATCACCAGCATCATCATAGCCAAAAGTAATGCAAAAAAGAAAAACGGTGTCTGTTCTCAAATAGAATCGTCCATTAGCGTTTGTTCTTTCTCCGAAAGTGAATCGTACTCTTTCCCCTGTTTCCCTATACCCTGGACAACGTCCGTACCGAAGAAGAAAAGAAGTAAAACCACAAACAACTGCCGTAAGGGACACATTTACTAATTGGTATTTTTATTTACCTCCCTCGTTTCCATACGGATAGGCTCTAGGGTCGTCATATACACATGTCAACATACAGGAGGGGGGTCCGCAAACATACAACATAGGTCGCGATCAGACGACGGCATATGGACCAAAGAGGAAAAACAAATCCAAGAGCGTTCCGCCTCTTTTTTATACGTGAGAGCCTTGTTAGCAAGCATGTTGGGGCTGGGTTGATGGTTTCTTAAGATCTGAAAATGGAGAATGATGAATCTTTGATACAAAATGAAAATGAATAGAACGACATGTGCTTGAAAAATGCCATTCTGCCTCCACCTTCTCCTCCTCCTCTACCACCTCCCTCCCTCCCATCCTCCCCCAACATTGTCCGGGCAAGGAGGAAAAGAAGCAAGGAAAGAGGGGGGGAAAGGGCAAGAGGAAAAAAAGGTCAGAGAAGATAAAGTCCGCAAGTACCCATGGAAAAATTAACTATCATTAAGTCCCTTGTTTCGCAAATATATATATATAAGCCCTGTTAACTCCGAAGCGATATATTCAAATGAACAATAACCATGCAGATAGCGCGGGACACAGGTATTTATTTATTTCAAGTTAGGGGAGATCTCAAATATTCATGATCTGGGCTGCTGTAATTGCTGCTGTGGCTGTGGCGAAGGTTGCGCCATCTGCACCGTCTTGATCTGGAAAGTCGCGCTGGGGAGGTCCGAGGACTCAGCTTGGACAGTAGCGTTTATGCCCATGCTTGCCAGGCCGCCGCGGATTATGCCACAGGGGAACCAGAGGTACTAAAACCCGTTAGGACGGGCTCACCTCTTATCTTGAATTCTGCTGTGTTGGTAGGTGAGGTGGGGGAAGAGGTTCGGAGGGTTGACTGATAGTGGTGTATTTACTTTCTTTCCCTTGTACTAGGAAACTTACTGATTGGGCTTTTGCAATGGCTTCGTTCCGATTTGACATACTCATTCGTATCAGGGGCCGGAATGTATTATCGGTTAGGACGTATACACCCTAAAAGTGAAAAAAATGTTTGCGAGGAACTCTGGTGAGTGATATGTTTCATTTGATCCAATTACCGAAAAGCAGACAAGGGTACATGGAATATAGAGCATCGCTGAAATGGGATGTATTGGGGAGTTGAATCCCTCCCTGAGGTTTGCTTCCGTACCCTATGGTTCGTTTTGAGATTATCAATCTGTTTCCGGAATAAAATCGTCCAGAAATCTTTGCAAAGGAATTTTATCACGTCAAGATTATCTGTAAATCGGGGTCTGTCTCGTGAAAATCTAATGGTGCTCCACATACATACGAAAATCAGTTAGCTAGGTGTTGGTCCAATATAGAGAAGATAATATGTTTCAATGGCAGGAGACTAAGTCCTGCGTGTGCAAGTACGAAATGGATGTGACATGAAAGCTTCGCCAGTCTGGGATATAAGATAGCAATTGGAGTAGAAGATATGTAGCTGACACACTGTATATACTTCCATCTCATTCATCACCAATGCTCAATCTCAACTCAGAAGATTGGGAGGGAGTACACCATTTCTCAGAAAGATATGGATACAGACATAGATACGTGATATCTTCTCACCTCTCAGCCAACCCTTGCCCAACACGAAACCCTAACGCCTCTAATCTATAAAAGGTAGCTTCACGATGCTCTTCTTCGTCTAGGTTTCCTTCCATGCCAGATAGCTCTTCCGCTAGTCTCTCAGCCATTGGCACTAGTTCTATGAGAAGGAGGTCCAGGCATGAGACACTAACGAAGCGGGCGTACGAGTCCGACACGTTGAAAGAAGAGAGGGAGGTGTCGACGGACATCTAACTGAGGCGCGGATGATGGAAATGAAGGGGAGGATTGTGTGCAGAGCCGAATTGAGTGGTTGCAACAGGAGACAAAGGATTGGTGGTAGGTGGGGTTATAAATTTTGAAGAGTATTATCGGCGACGTAGGTCTGGGATTTTGCAGCAGTAGCTCTCTTTAGGGCCAGTGGGGGGTTCGCAAAATAATTGAGGTGTCGAGGAGTGAGTGCTCTTAGGACTTGTACGGGGAGCTCGATTGCCTGAGTTAATTACCTAATCAACTTGTTCCTGGGTCTAGTTAGTTACGTCAGTATGATCAACAACTCCATTGTAGCGATTCGCGTAATGAGTAAATCGTTGCCCTTAGGCTATCATAGCATGTAAAATATAGAGCCTGGCGCTCTCAGCTTCGTTAGTTTTATGGAGTTTAGAGGTTTCTATAAGCATAGCGCCTTGAAAAAAGTGTCACCTAGAGTGAGAGAGTTGTGAGGGACTTGTGAGGGACTTGTAACAATTCCCATCTCAACCGCCACTATCTAGATAGAAAAGTGTATGTATCATTTCAAACGGAACTCCCAAACGCCTCGCTCTGCCAGGCTGCCTCCTGTATGATCCCTAATTCAATTATGTAAAATGCCGATGCAATTCGCGCGTCGTATTGCAGTAGACGACACCTTCCCGCAGAACAACGACCACTTCCTGCCGCCAAATCTTTCTTTCAACAATAAAAAGAGAATTAAATAATGTTAATGAACAAAAACCGACTAAGAGAGCCGTTGGAAATAGGAAAATTTCCCCTACAAGCCCCCGCTGTTAATACATGTCAATTCAATTATTCCAGGCAGTCAGCAGAGATTTTTTAAGCATCATAATAAAACGAGTTTGCGACCGGAGAATTAGACGAACTCTGACTAGTATGACCAAAATTCGCATTACTCACGGTGGACCGTGAGGCAAAATCTGAGCATCGACTTGAATATTGATTGGGGCTAGGTTGTATATGTGGGCGCTTTGCGGGGCGGCAAGGTTCTTCGTCTTCATCATCGCTTACGGTCAAATCAATGACCTGGCTAGCTGGTCGTTTATTATTTGGTGTTGGTCGCGATGTAGATTGGGCGAACAAAAATTCCCCTGTTTGAACTGACGGTGTACTGTGAAGGGTCATTGGGGTGGTAGATGGCTCCTCTTTTAGAGTGGCTACTCGCGACTCTTGGATTTCGATTAAATTATCATCCCCGCCAACAGTAGGAGGGGGAGGGTTTCCACCCGGTACCGGATTGTCATTGTCTCGTCCTATATGCCACTTGCCATCTGGGTCAACCGTAACCTGATCAAGATTCGGCGGTGTCGACTTGAGTATATTATCAACGTACCTAATACATTAGTTATGAGGTGAATGTTTGCGAATACTAACAATATGCTTACTGGTCGATTTGTAGTGCTTCGAAGTTTGTCGCTTTGTTGCATACAGGGCACGTCCACGTCGGGGCCTGCTCTTGTAATTGCAAAAATGATGACGCATCAAAGCACTGGGTATGTAAACAAATCGTTGACCTGCAGGGGACCGCTATTCGAAGTGTCGATAGGGGGCATTTTAGCGACATTACGGCAGAGGTTGCAACAATGTCAGCATCTTCTGCTTTGTTTTTCACTAATATTGTTTGTTAGACATGAGTAGGTATTGATAGATGCCTGTTTTCCGAGAGCCTCTTACTTTCACGTATAACTTGTTCAGCAGATAATGTTTTGCGAGCTTGTAATTGATTTACCAATTCCTCCACTGTGTGTTTTCGAACGAGGTTTATAACCATGAAATATTTCTATACATATTATGTTAGAACAAAGTAACTCATGTATGGACGGATACACCGAGATAGTAAATAGGTTATGGCCTACCTTCTGTGTGAGTGCGTACGTCATAGCGACCTGGTTAACGTAGCCAGCCTTCTTTCGGATAAAATTAGTAATGTCCGCTGGGCGTGTTGAACCAGGCCTGTTTTTCAACCCTCGTAAGTTTGCCTTAACGTCATCCAGGTTCGCTTTGAGCTCAACTTGGTGAGGAAATGTAATGTCAGATTTGGTATATTGAGTGAGGCCGCTATCCGCTGCACAATAGACCATGACTCGCAAGGATGGGTCATTTTGAATCCGCGCTGCATTTAGCGCTGAGAGAACAACCTTTAAAATTACGCTATCACGCGTACTTTCTCTAACTACGGAGGACTTAGTTATTTTCTGACTTGAAAGCGCTCCAAGACATCTAGAGGTTACCTTTGCATTCTACCACAGGCGTCAACGGTTCGATGATAGAATAAAATGGGCTGTCTTTAAAACTAAGTCGACCTAGAAACAGGATCAGCTTTAAAACAAATATAAACCTACAGCGGAAGACATACCGGTCGAAAAGGAATGACTTGGAGTCATTGAAAGAGAAAACGGGGGCACTGTTTGCTGCGCATACGTGGATGGTGCAGATTGAGGTGGTTGGTATGTAGCCGAAGATTGTGTTGGAGTGGATGGCATTTGATGTTGAGCTGTGGCATAGATATATCTTTTTAGTGAGTCATATCTGTCGGTTCGCCCGGAATGGAAGAACTGTCCAAGTCCTGGGAGAATATCCAATGTTAGTTCAGCTTTGACTCCTTGCGAGAGGGATAGAGACTAACGGTCAATTATTCGTTCTTGTAAAATCGCCTTAACACCAGAAACCGCGAGGCCCTCACTTCGCAGTATGTCCTTCAGCTGGGCATTGAGTAACGATTTCACCAGGGCAATAACTCGTTGCAAGTCTGCCATTTCCTGCCCGGTCGAAGCCATTTTCCGGAATGACCATCTGCAGGTTAGTAACTATGAATTAGAGGCGAAGTAAAGGGCAACGAGCTCGCTAGGCGCAAATGGGAGAGAATGCATTTGCAAATATAGTCACAATATATGTCCAGCAGAAGAAAATGTATGGAGGGTGAATCTGTTGATCAGGCCGCCGCCTCTCAAATCTCATCGCGCCTTTCGAAGTCCCATATGATGAGAGTGACACTGGTGCCTGCTGACATAAGCGCAGGGTTGAGGCTGCCGCACCAAGAGAATTTTACAATCTCGGCCATTTGATTCTCTAGCAACGAGTATTCTTCTGCCTTGTCTTTCAGTCAGCGCCCGCAATTTTTTTTGCGCGTGCAGCGTATACCTAACCGCTCTACTCGATGCGTTCCTCATGCGTTGACTTCGAGCTGATATAAGAATTTCTCGAAATGGCTAAAGGTCTCCGCTCCAGTGTTATGAAACGCAATAAGGCGAAGCTACGTGCCGAAGTGTTCGTCCCGATTGTTGACAGGAGGACTGAAAGGCTTTCAGCAAAACTCCAAGAGTTGGTGGCCAAGCCAAAAGAAGTAAATACGAGCGACGCAGGTATGGAACAAGCCCGGATTTTAATCTTGAAAGCCCATCCTCCAATAAACTAACATATACTGTACCTCCTAGATAAGCTTGATATGAACATAACAGAAGAAAGTGGTGCAGGAAAAGGTGCGTACACTGTCTATTCTATTTCGATGCGGATTACATTACACAATCCTCTCACCTGGTCCTCTCATTTATTATCTCCTAGCAATGATGCTGACATTTGAATTTCCAAGAAATGGATATTGATGAACAACCTGGAGCAACCAAGCCATCAGCCGAGAATATGGGACGAATCCGGAAGAGAGTTCGACGGAAGACAAGGCCCTCGATCACATTTGCAGCACGCCCTCAGAAGGTGAAGAGAGTTAACAAAAGGAAGTGAGGGAACTCAACTCATTGGCCGCTGAATTTGTCATATTCCCTCTCGCGATACACGATGGCATACCTAAAAGGCATAGACTTGGTCTGGATTTGGCGTACTAGGACGTACTAGGAGTGGCAGGTTGAAATTGGGCGTTCCTTCGGTGTTATCTGGACACACGCCCGAATGTTAAATACTGTAATCGTCAAAAATCTGATAGAGTTGTTAGGAACCTAGTCAATTCTTTGGACATTGGAAGTGATTTTTGGAAAACGAAGTCAAAAGAAGCGAGAGGTGAATAGTTAATAAGCTTCTCTATCAACGTAACTGAACGCGGAGACGTCGGCGGGGGTCTTGGGAAGAGTTCTCTTTTCTTCTTGACGGCCTGTCACCCTGAAATCGGTTTGTCAAATAATCTCAGAATAACGTAATATTGGCAACTTTGTAGAGATCCGAATTATGAACAACAATGTCATCCAAGTAAATGTTCAGTTTCAATGTTTCATCGTTTTGCCCTTGGTCTTGGCTCGCACTCAACACACATATTTAACTAAATAGTTACATCAAATCTGCATTGTAATATTATATATTCCAACCCATCAACCCTTGCCATCTTAGACATACCTAAAAAAGAACAAGCAGGCCGAGAGATGGAGAGCCAGAGGTACCTGGAAGAGCAATTTTCATCGGTCCTCCTTGGATTTTTATTCTTCAAGTAGTCGTTATTTCGTCCATTGGAGTACACCATGGCAGCAAAACTGCCCCTTTACCTTGCTAACTTTCTGTTCCCTCTGGCTATTTTGCTGTTCGCCAGCGGCTTCTTCCCCTATAAACCCTTTATTCCTGGCCTCGCGACATTTAGTGAAGATCTGAAGGACATTCGGCCATTTGCCCCCTTTGACAGAGTCATATTCATGGTGGTCGATTCCTTAAGGAGGTAAATCGGGTCTTCCTTTTGCTTGGTGGACAGATTTCTCACTACAAATTAAACAAACAGCGATTTCGTCTATGCAAAGCACTCAGGCTTTACGTTTACTCGAGGGTCAGTGATATAATATTCCTCCAAATTGCAGGATAGCTGTACATGTTGCCCTAACCATCCCATCAGGTTGATTGAATCTGGAGCTGCATTGCCCTTCACGGCCCATGCAGGCGCACCTACGGTCACAATGCCGCGGGTGAAGGCTATCACGACAGGCTCGGTGCCTTCATTTTTAGATGTGATTCTTAACCTTGCAGAAACAGATACGTCATCAACTCTCGTCAATCAGGATACGTGGCTTGCCCAGCTGAGAGCTCGACCAGGCGGTCGTTTAGTCATGTATGGGGATGATACATGGCTCAAATTGTTCCCTGGTTTTTTTGATAGGCATGATGGCACAACAAGCTTCTTTGTATCGGTTAGTTCAACCAAACAATTTCTCCAAGAACGTCTTTTTTTATAGAAGCCGAAATGGCTGATTTGGCTTGGATCTGTGATAGGATTTTGTTGAAGTGGATAATAATGTCACTCGTCATGTTCCCAAGGAGCTTATGATGGATGACTGGTCTTCAATGATTTTGCATTACCTTGGCTTGGACCACATTGGTCATAAATCGGGGCCGAACAGGTAAGACCTCTGTCAATTTCGACTTTTCTTCCATCAAACTAATATAGAGCTAGCGCCTATATGCTCCCCAAGCAGAAGGAAATGGACTCAGTTGTTAGGGATATATATAACGGTATGGAGAGCCAGGAGCACCTCTCATCCACTCTCCTCGTATTGTGCGGTGACCATGGTATGAATGAGGCTGGGAATCATGGCGGCGCATCTCCAGGGGAGACTTCGCCAGCTCTCGTATTCATATCCCCACAAATCCGACAAATACAGAATCAAGGATCCTCCCTCGAGCCATCTTCAGGGGACTTCAAGTACTATCAATCAGTTGAACAGTCCGATATTGCTCCTACCCTAGCCGGATTGCTCGGATTTCCTATACCCCTCAACAGTCTGGGTGTTTTCATACCACAATTTCTACCCATGTGGAAAAACGGTAAGTTAAAAAGGTCGCTGGTTGCAACAGTTGGCATGATGAAGGTGTACTGAATTCTTTATAGGTTTCGAGAGACTCGGTATTCTTATGGAAAATGCTAGGCAAATTCGTAATGTCGTTCGGACGACATTCCCCGCTTATGAATTCAGCGATTCCCTCAAGCCAGATGTATGCAAACCTACACCGAATATAGAACTCGCTTCACTTGAATGCAATTGGCAAAATGCATGGAAGTTGGCTAGTGCAGCCCGAGATCACAATGATCATTTCAAGGAAGCCGAAAATGCTCTGCTTACTTTTTGCAGATCTGCTCAAGACGTGATGAGTAGCGCAGCAAGTAACTACAACATGGAGAGGCTCTGCATTGGGATTTCCCTTGCTGCCTCGGCAGCTGTACTGTCCAGTGTTGTGTCCCTTGACGACATGTCGGGAGCTAAAGTATTTGCCCTCTTTATTGCCATAGCCTATGGTAGCATGATCTTCGGAAGCAGCTATGTGGAAGAGGAGCAGCAATTCTGGTACTGGATCCTCAGTGGCTGGACATTCTATCTCTACGCGAGGCGTAGTATTCATAATGGGATGAAAGGAAGTGGTGGAGATGGTGGAAAGTGTTCATCCATGGCAGTGCATATATGGGGATGTATGGTCTTTGCTGTTTCGTCGAGAATTATGCGACGGTGGAATCAAACAGGTCAGAAATTTGCGGCAGAATCTGATATAACGAAGACCTTCTTCCCAAGCTACACGAATGTTCTTTGGATATTGGTTCTCCTAACATACACGGATATCTGCCAAGGAATGGTGCGACGGACATCTTCAGCCGGAGCCGCGTCATTCTCGCGGCTTTTCTTCCCTATATTAACCAGCTTCGCACTGCTGTTTAAGCTCAGCTTTACTGCAGCCAATTCCCCAGAACTACTTCAAAATGTCTTAATATCCAGCCACCTAGTAGGAAGCATCACTGGTGTTTCCCTTATTACCCAGGCCAGACTCGTATTCACTGGTATCGCCATCGCTTTGGTTTATGTGATATATACTCACTTCCAAAAAAAACGAACCCTGAAAGCATTCCTCAAAATCGGGGGCAAGGATGGTCCACACTTGCCAAAACACCTGAATGGCACTCTTACCAGTGTGCGGTTCCCAACAGACCTCCGCGACATTGTCAGCCTTATCCTCGTCACCCAATCAAGACCAACTAATATCCCACTCTACCTCATATTTCGCCTTCAACATTGGGCCCTCTCCTCCATGGAGCTATCTGGCAACGGGGTAACCATCACGTCGCTGATACTGCAATACGCAGCATTTTTCGCCATGGGTGGCTCCAACTCAATCGCCACCGTCGACCTCTCAAACGCTTACAACGGCATCAGTGACTATAACGTTGTCGTCGTCGGCATCCTGACGTTTATAGGCAACTGGGCAGGCCCTATTTGGTGGGTTTTCTCGACGAAATTGCTGTTTATTAACGACAACAGGCGGACTTCGGTTATCAATCGTCGCCATCGTAGCAGTCATGTGGCATTGCTGACCTTCTTCGTCACGACAAGCCTGCTGGCGGTGATGGTGGCCTGCACCGTCCTGCGGACTCATCTTTTCATATGGACAGTTTTTTCCCCTAAGTTTTTGTATAGCATGGCTTGGAGTTTAGTACAGCATTTGGCTATCAACCTCCTCCTTGGAGAGGTCATATTAAAGTCAATTTGTTAGATTAGATTCACTTTTTGTAACTATATAAAGAATACATGTATGTACAAAAATGAATGGCTTTCACAAATCTCCGATGTTGCACAGAATAAAAGACAAACCTCATTCTATCGTCTCTGAATACAAATAGAGGGGGGGGGGGAAACCCTCAATTGTTCAACATTACAACCTTCTGAAAATATCATCAACCATATCTCTATTCTGCTTCTTTTATTTTGTTTTAATAATCTTTTTTTACTTCTGTTGAGCTGTCTTCTTCTCACTCTCATTCAATTATAGCAATAAGCTCTTCTATCTAGATTTCTGTCATTCTCAACTTTCGTCTTTCTTCAATAGCATCTGAGATAAAAGTCTCTTTTCTCCTCACTCTTTACTTTCCACTCACTATCATTCTCTTTCTCTCTCTGTTTTTCTTTTTTCTTAAATGGAGTAGAGTACTATTAGTTTTGAGAGCTGTAACAATTTATTCATCATCTTCTCAATATCAATATCGATACTTTCATTATAATTGTAACTATGGTAATGGTAGCTGGTATTGGGTTATTATCAATGCTAATATCAGATTTTATAGTAAGTAAATAAAATTTCTCTATATATATAATAATCTTTACAGTCTGTATATATATAGTTAGTTATGTAGTACCTACCTACAGTGACGAAAGTAGTATGACGACCGCAGTTCGGGTAGACTTACTAGAATTTTGTCAGCAATGTGCGAGAAAAAGAAGCGATCCCTTTCGACATGTATATTTTCCGCTCTGATACAAAAGCCACAGCACGATTCTCACGAGAGGGACAAGGAAGTCAACCGCGAGTGCTAAGATGGACGGTAACTAAACAGCAGCCCCTTGTTGGTACACTTTATATATTTAGTATGCGACTCTAGCATCACGAAAGCCCCAGTGCATTTTTAACCGAACTCAGCGTAATATCGGCATTGTCCCTGGCAATTTTTGCACCATCTTCCGCAACTTTGTCAATGTAGCCAGACGTGTTGTTCGTAAGTTCCAAATACCTTTCCCGGATCCCTTTCAAGTGCTTTATGAGGGTGCTGGCCACATGCTCCTTGAAAGCCCGCATGCTCAGCCGCTGGTGTTCCCGCCCCATTTCTACAAAACTCCTGCTTCCATCTCCTCCCTGAACATGGCCGAGAATCTCAATAAGGTTAGAGACGCCGGGTCGCCTGGAAGGGTCATAGCTAATTCCCGGTTCAGAGTCTGTGAGGGCAAGTTTTATCTTTTGGTGGATGTCCTCCGCCGAGTCCGTGAGGAGAATTCGAGATCGGGGGTCATTATGTGATTTGGACATTTTCAACATTGGCTGCTTCAGCGACATAACTCTTTTCGCTGGGGCTGTTTTTGGTTTTTTCGTCAATATTTCCAAGTGTATACACGTGTATGATTTATTGATGGATATCATGCTTACATATCAATGGAGCTGGCATGGTGAGCACTGGACCGTATAAGTGATTGAAACCGTTCGCCACTTCCCGCGTGAACTCAAGATGCTGCTTTTGATCTTCTCCTATGGGCACATCGGTTGCTCTGGTTTTTTTGTTATCGGTGCCAACTCTAGCATTGTTTGCCAGTGAATTTTTCTAAAAAAAAAAGCGCTCCCATACCTGTGTATTAGCACATCCGCCGCCTGCAGCACCGGGTAGGAAAATAGTCCCCAGTTTAAGGCGCGACTTGGCGTCCGAATTTTCCAACGTAGATTCCTCAGGCAGTTGTAGTTTAATTCTGCAAGAAATTATTAGCGAAAGAGGCCAGCTGTGCCAACTCCTATAAGGGAACATTACTCACTTTCCATTGCGTCATCCGTGATAAATATCCCATCGAAGATATGGTGCTTAAGATCCACATCAATTCAGAGTGCGCTGGGACCTGGCTGTTGTTAGCTAGCAAGTAACCATATCACTTTCATTCGTTATCTTATATCGCTTTCCAATTAAAAAGAGAAAAAAAAGTAAAGGCAGGAAACGCCGTACCGCAGACTGAAAAAAGACAGTGGATCGATTCGGGTCAATCCCGACAGCTATCAATGTAGCCAACAGTTGTTTCCGCCGTTGTCGAAGAATTGTAGGATCTTGCGGAATAGTGAGGGCATGGAGATCCACGATGGAAAATAACAATTTCGTAGGAGGAACAGCTTCATTTTGTAGTAGAACCCATTGCCTCAATGCTCCCAGGTAATTGCCCAAGTGAGGTTCTCCGGTAGGCTGGATACCAGAGAAAATGATGCGGTCATTAGATGTTGAGGCACTCGCATTCCGACGAGATTGTCGCGAACAAAGTGAATAGGAGGGGTTCAACCGTTGATATAATATCCTAGAGGCATTTCGCACGGAATATTCCGGATGTGCTCGTTGGAATATGGTGGGCATATCTTAACTTTTGCGATCAACTGGAACTTTACGAAGTTGCAGCTGGGTGTGTAATAAGAGGATTTCCGTAACCTAAAATGTTAGGCATTCATTACTAGTGGACGGCTACCCCAGGCACGTGCCACTCAACAAGATAGTTAACAATCACACAACCAACGTTATCCTCCTACATATGAGCAACAGAACCGCTGCAATAACGTTTATCCTCCTACATAAAATTGTCTCACGTGCACGTAGGAATCCTCTTGTTTCAGCAGACATTTGATATGAACATATGTTCCGTAGTGATGGCCTAAACAGATACTATTTTCTTCTTGTAGTATGGAGTATTCTAAGGATCAGACATAGCATGTTTGGAGGGGGTGGGTGGGGAACATCAAGAAATTCGAGATAAAAAAGTCTACATAAGGGTGAATCGAAGATATGGCTAAATGAGATACAAGCTTCATGCATGTAAAACAGATTAAAAAAGAACATCCCAAAGTTCACCGGCTATTGTTATCCATAAACTTCCTCCTATCTACTAAATCAGCGACCGATTCCGCCTGCCCAAAGGCCTTCTTGCTGGAGCCAAAGTAGGAAAGTTTCGCCTCAATTGCACTATCCAACTCCGCAGCCGTCTCATCCATCAACTTCCCAATTCCTAAAATTACAACTTAATTAGAGATCCACTACACGTTATTGGCATATCTAGAAAAGGGTGGGTAAGCTTCATACCTATTGGGCTATGGTCCCAAACATTCGCCTTCATACCAACACCATGGAACGCATGTTTTCGAAGGAAGGCAAGCCACGTCTGAACGACATCAGGATGGCCATCCTTAATTTGAATAAGTCGACGAAGCGTTACTCTCTCGAAATTCTCCTGGGACTTCTTGTGAGCGAAATTGCTTTTCAGAACAGTCCAGCGTTCCGTGATTCGCGGGAGAGGTGTAGGTCCGAAAGCGGGAAGATTGAGATAGTATGCCGCTCTGAGCGCAAAGTCGGCGAAAAACTCGACATGTCGTGCGCTGTATGATCGGAGCTGGAGGTCACAGACCGGTAGGCCGAATTCCGCCTTTCGTCGCAAAGGCTTTAGGTATACGGCTTGCACACTACGCGGTAATCGGAATTTGCTACCGATCTGGTCTAGTCTCTCCCCCCTATAATAAAGTAAGCATGGGGTGTGAAAAAAACAGTGAAGAGGAGTTGGTATAGGCCGGTTACCATTCCTTCGGAGTGCCATCGAGGTGTGTAGAGGGTGTTCTGCCAGATAGAGGATAACCATTAGCCATTAGGAATTCAACATAAATTACACAACAACGACCTCGACCTTATTTCATTGGAGGCAACAGAAATGCTGTTCGGATCCTGTACACTGCGAGAACCATTCTCCTGAGCGGGCGGATGTGAGGTTGAAATTGGACGAGAAAAATTTGAAATCTGCAGATACGTTAGTTAACCGAACGATGCGGAGATAGATTCATACCACACACTTTAAGCCGCTTAGTGCTTCTCCATGTAGAACGCATGGCACTCGCAGAAAACATCGTGGGGAAGAAGGAAATCCCCGAGCCCAATATATTCAAGGAGTTTGTACCTCTTGATGCCATTCGAATGCAACAATGAAACGGGTTACATAAGCATATTGGGGCCAACTGCCCAATCACAACTCCGAGAAGGAAATACTTCTGGATGCTAACCATCTACACTTATTTCGAGGTACCAGAAGCCCCACGGCTTAACTGGTTGAGGAGTTTTGTTAATTTTAGATCCAGAAGAAGGGGATAACATCAACATATTCTAGCGATCAATGGTGGGAGCAACAGAGAATCATCCTCGTACGTAAAATGGCCAATTTCCTACTAGCAATGGGAGTAACTGATTTGGTATCCTCTGTTGGACTTCCTGGCAGCGCTGATCTGGGTAAGCATATATTTAGATCCCTCTATCCTCAATTCCAGTCTCTCTCTCATATATATAAAGAAAACGCCGCCGTCCAGCTACAAATCTGATCAGATTTTGCAGCTCACGCAAGAATACATTCATTGCCCTCTCTCTTCCTATCCTATAACATCCAATAGAGATTACAAAACATGGGCGAGCGATCTATCTTTCAACAAGTGCAGGACACCTTCATCTACCTCCGTGAGCGTTTGCCAATCGAACTTCAAAAGCCAAGATTTGCGATAATATGTGGATCCGGCCTGGGTGGACTAGCAGCGTCAGTGAACAAGAGCCCCAGGGCTGAGTTTGAGTATGGATCGATTCCACATTTTCCCATTTCAACAGGTAAATTTTGGATCATTTTCTCCTTGTACATTGTTTTCTATCCTTCTATTTCGAAAAGAAAGATAAAAATGGAAGAATACAATCTATTGGTAACCATCATCATCATTGGATGTTAAGATGTGTTAAAAATTCTTATGTAGTGCCTGGCCATGTCGGCAAACTCGTTTTCGGAACCCTCGGGGCAGATATTCCTGGAGTATTGATGGTTGGCCGACCACAGTGAGTTTGTGCTCTCCAGAGAACGGTATTCGATTGGTATCTAATCGGCCTGACAAAAGCTACTACGAAGGCCACACAGTCGACAGAATCACGTTCCCTGTCCGGCTATTCAAACTACTAGGGATCGAAATGATTGTTGGTGAGAACTTTCTGACTTCTATTATTATAACTTGATAGTAATTGTACCGTAAAACTGAAACGCCCACATCCAAATGAAATCTAGTCACAAATGCGTCAGGGGCACTGAATCCTGAATACAAAGTTGGAGATATTGTCGTGCTGAACGATGTATGATTCCGTTCCCTGTTGTGTAATAGGCAGATCCCCCCTCAAAAATGAGCTGACGCTGTGACAGCATATTTTTCTTGCTGGTCTTGCTGGAACACATCCACTCCGCGGTCCGAACGAAGAGGAATTTGGTGTTCGGTTTCCCTCTCTATCAGATGCGTATGATATTGGGCTTCGCAGGACTATCCACCACGCTTGGGGAAAAGTGATAGCAGCAGAAAATAAAAGGAGACTGTATGAGGGGGTGTACGCATTTGTTGGAGGACCAAGGTGAGATTTGCTGAGAATCGTTATATATATATATATATTTATCGCGCATGTCCTAAATGCTATGCTAATAATCCGTGACAAGCTATGAGACGAGGGCTGAATGCCGACTGTTACGACAACTAGGCGCAGACCTCGTTGGGATGTCCACGGTCCCTGAGATCATAGTGGCAAGACACTGTGGAATCAAGGTACTCGCGCTAAGCCTGGTGACGAATAATGCAGTCCTGGCTCCCGTTCCACGTGGAGACGATAGACTTTTGCAAGGTTCGACGGCGGGAGAGCTAGACACCATAGTGGAGGAGGGCAAGGCCACACATGAAGAAGTGCTTGAGGCGGGCCGGCTTGCAGCTGTAGATATGCAGGTACGCGGTTGCAGCTTGTCCTTTTTTCATCTCTTCCACATCTCTCAACTAATTTGACCTGCGGTTAGGCATTGGTACAGCAAGCTTTAGTGGACATTTTCGCCACAACCGACAATTAATGGGATTGTCGTTTATTCATCGATACAGCTTGATGTCGAATGTCGACCGGGGCCGGATAATAAGGCGTCCAGAGCGATAGGCGAATACTCCACAAAGGGAGTTTCTATTTAATATTTGAAGCGAAATCACCAAGAACATATCAACCAAACTTGCTCCCTCTGGAACGTTTTGCTTTAATGGATTTGTAGTGGGCTGTCTTTCCGCTCGTTTTGGCGGCCTGGATTTCTTCATATTTTCGCCGGAAGCGGCCGCTCTCATGTTCGATCGCCAAAGCTTCTTCCACGAATGTACGTTTCCGTAGTTTCTTGGGAATCCGAGCGCTGAAGAACTCGGTGGGTCCTTCTATGATGGTGCCCACCTGAGAGTACTCGGGCGCCTTCGCTTTGCTGTTATCTTTTTTGTAATGCCGATGAGGGTCGAGTACCGGTCTCATTCGGAGTAGCTGGAGATCCCTTTTCATTTCTGGGGTGAGATTAGTCTTGGGTAAATCGAACCAGTCGGAACCGGCGGTTGGCTTTTCCTTTGGCTAATAATAGGAGTTAGTGCTTCCAACTCAAACTAACAAGAGAAATTAATTGGGTGAAAAATGAGAGGCGAGCTGGAGTGCGGAGTGTTCAGAGTAACTATGAATAAAATGGCTTCCACAGAAGCAGCGTAGCCCAAGACGGACAATAAGACTGCATCAAGCGCCTGAAGCGGTAAAATATCTTCATCATAACACTGTAATCGTCAAACTGCAAAAGGCTAGGGAAGAGGTGGTGGAGTCGTGGGAATCGAAAAGAGCTGCCAAACCATTTTAATTTTAGAATTGGAGACCTGGGGAATTGAACGTATGGTTTCTGAGAACTTTTTCTGTTCCGCAGTCACAGTCCGAGTCTGGTCAAAGGTAGCAATTTTGTCTTGTTCACGAATGTAAGACCGAACGGGTTGAGTAGAATCAAGGGTGGGAAGCCTACGCGGACACTATTAGCACCTGCACAACGAAATAAACGATCGGAAGAGATATAGCTATACCGCAAGAGAGATGATGAAGTTGCGGGCTCAGTTGAAGCAGGTTGAATGCAATTCCCTTGGGAAGGAAAACGAAGCCGCGCCTCTGCCGCCAGGAGCAGAGACTGAATCTGTTCATCTGACAAAATTCCGTCGTCCTCGTGAGAAGTAGGAGTGATAGTTTGCAGAGACATGGTGATAGGAAGATTCCAAATATCTTGCAGGCAGTGGCTGTTTTATCATTGATCCATTGTGAGAATAGTAGAATTGGTTTGCTAAAGAAATGGGACTTTTGTATTAGTTATTAGGCTTAAAAAAACTCAAAAGTTGTGGGAGGGAGCCTTTTAACTTTTTATAGCTTGATTGACAAATCTTGGCGCGGCTCTTGACTTCCTCCCAGCCGTGGTTGGCAAATATAACGTCGAGCTATTTAAACTATCTCATGGGCTGTATTTAGATATGTCATTTTCCTTTATACAACCACGTTCAACTAAGTGCCCGAAAAAGTCTTTTTGCATGGCTGATAAGAACTTGAACGTTAGGACATGATCAGGAATCAATCACAACAACACTTGTCTACTAATGAGAATGGAGTATCAACTGTGTGGATGCATTTTTGGAAAAGATTATGGGTTATGGATCCTTAAAATGGCCGAGGGAGGAAGGATATACTTACATCTATCCAAGAAAATCATAATTACAACGTCACAGAGGATTGCAAGGTTCTAAGGGTAGAAACGGGGTTAAACTCTATTCATGTCTGTCAAGTTCTAACTTCTAACCATGTTCAACTACAGCTTGGATGCCAACGGCCGTCATCAGAGAAGCTAGCTAATATCGCCTTTTATGTATATGGTTCCATCCGTCTATTCCACGGATCATACTTTATCCCGACATACCGCGAATCCGTGGTCAATGAGGATTTTATCCCAAAGAGCGGAATTGTAGTGCCAACCTCCGGAATCCTGCGTAGCTTTGTGGCAAATTCGACAAGACATCTATGTACATATTCATCGAAGCTGAAGCCCAAAGCGCTGCTGGCAACGACACCAGAAGTATGCATTGCCAACGTGTGTTCAGAAACTTGGTCGAGTGATGTGTCGGTATAGGGGAGATAGCAGTAAGCGTCTTGGGTATGATGACAGTCTCACTTCCAGTTGGCTTGAAGATAAACTACTTATGAAAGCTACATCATACAATCTCAATATCCTAACACGGTTTACTGGGCTTCTTTTTCAGCCTAACAGCCACCCCTTTTCTAACCTTTTTCAACGAAATTACATTATTCAGTTGCATTTCCCTTCCCTCTTGTTTTCATTGCAGGAGCCTTTGGTTGCCTGTTTCTGGGCATGACATTTGACATGAGTGTTGGTGTGGCAGTCCAGTGCATCCTTGGATGGTGCCGCTATTAGCAGGATTATGCGCAAGCTGCGGAGTGGAAACTTCACGGTTGTCAACTCCACATACATGGTATTTTCCATGAAATGTGATAAATAATGGATCGAGGAAATTGTTTTCAGCTGAACTTGATATATACTGGGCACTTACACAAAATTATTAGAAACACACCTATACAATCATGAATGGCCTTTGCCATACCTGATATGACTACTAGGAGCAATTGCACTGTTAAATAGTCATTACATATATGAATATAGCAGGAAGCTCCATGAAATATGTAGCTGATGCCAGACGGAGCAATAAGCTCAGAAAAGCCAAGCTCTCAGATATTATATATATCATCAATATACATCATCACTAGATATCATCAATAGACATTATTGCAGATGAGGATTGTATGTTCATAAAGAAGATTCCAAATGGTACCGGCGCATGGCATGGTAAGATGATTGAAGAGATGAAGATGATATGGAGTGATAATCTCGCTTATTAGATATATACCATGGAAGGACAACATTGAAGTTCAGAGGACTCTGATACAGAGATGTCAGTCAATGAAGTGGAATATGATGTGGGAGCCTTCCTCAGCAAGAAGGAAGAAAAGCAATTACTGACTGGTGACACAGTTGTGGATGAGCATGGCGTCAATATATATCATCATCAATATCATCATTGGTAGGCATCATTGCAGATATCATCGCTAGATATCATCAGTGGATATCGTCAGTGGATATCGTTCATTCAAGCAGGTCAGTAGATAGATAGGCAGGTAGGTAGCTAGGTAGGTAGCTAGTGATCTAGCTAGTTGCTCAATGTTCTGTAAACAAAACGAGTCCACGTGAATCATGTGACTGCGGATGTCACATGCTGAATAGAACACACCTGTGGACACCACACGCTGGTCTAAATAATAGAGGTGCCAACAGAGGTGCCAGCAACTAAACAGTTCCATCACCGCCCTCTGTCATCGCCTCTAGTCGCGTTTCACACTCACATCCAACTCGCATTTTTCCGGCTTCCCCGTCGCCAAATCTACCTCGTCATCATTCTCTTCTCTTCTTATATTAGCATTTGCCCTTCTGCTATCTCAATTCCCTTCCAATACACTTCTGCTTGAACTCCATTACCCTCTACATACAGCCTTCCACCAAGCATCCCAGCATCCTCGAATTTGTCCGCCTGAGTTTTAAACAACCCGATAGACACTCCTCCGGATCCCAAAGCTCTTGCTCTTCCTCCTATTCCAGTAGATCCTCCTAGATGGATCAGACACAACAAGGCAGAGGCCATCATGGTCGAGCAGAACCAGAGTATGACATCAGGAATGGGGGTCATTACGGTTCGTAACCCCAGTTGTTTTTATCCCATCCGGCGTTTTTTGGATCAAAAGATCATTGAGAGGGATTGTTCCTATAATACGTGATGCTTGTATCTATTTTATTGTGGTAATTAACAGCTGTGTAACACCTCTGCAGGAGCCAGCGCTGCGGTATGGTTGATATGTTTCCTTCTTTCAAATCAATTCAAAGGACAAACAACAGCGCCATTGTTTTCCATCCATCCATCCATCCATCCATCCTTGATACTGTCCTACCTATAGGCTACTTGGGCGCGCTTTGACCAATCTGCTTACTTTGCGCTTTTCCAAACAATTAGCTCTCCGCTCAAGGATATGCCCCAGTACCCGAACTATACACAGGATCATGGGCAAACGTAAGTAGGATCCCGATTTGTTTCAGACCGACCATTCATTATTTGTCCATTCAAAACCAGAAGCATTCGCTTGGCTAACATAAATTGTACCCTTTACTTTCTTTCTTTTTATTTTGCAGGTCAGCCAAGGTCTCCAGGGAAATTCGCGCGATATTCTCACTACATACTGGCAGCATACGATTAACCACCTCGAGTCCGACAACCATGATTACAAAATCCACCAGTTGCCCCTGGCCCGGATAAAGAAAGTAATGAAAGCAGACCCGGAAGTGAAGATGATCTCAGCCGAAGCCCCGATCCTATTCGCCAAGGGATGCGACATCTTCATAACGGAATTGACCATGCGTGCCTGGATACATGCAGAGGACAACAAACGACGAACCCTCCAGCGATCAGACATTGCCGCCGCCCTCTCTAAATCAGACATGTTCGATTTCCTCATCGACATCGTTCCGCGCGAGGAGGCTACACCCCACGCCAAACGGTCCGCGCAGACTGCTCCCACAGCACCCACAGTCCCTCCCCCACCCAACGCACCCAGCCAACTCCCTCCACAATCTCAGCCAGGTGTCCAGCATCCGCAACACCATATGGGCCCGCCTGACTATGGCTCCCTTGGTCAACATCCCATGGGCCAGGAGCAGGATTATCGCCAGCAGCAGATGTATGGGGGAGCAGTCCAATCGGACCCAGGATATGGCCAGCCGCAACCGCAAATGTTTGAGAACATGTATGCGCCATATCCGCATATGCCTCCGCAGCAGGTCCGTACACCCTGTCGCTCCATTTCTCACACCAATGATTCCATTTCTCTATATCCTTGACAAAAGCCGAGCGATGTGCTAACACGAAATACAACATACGTAATATAGTGAGAGTCCCATAAATTTTCCGATAGTTCCTCTCTTATTTTCTTCTTTCCTTTTTGAAATTATTGATTATAAATACAAAAGGGGTTTGGCGGAAGTAATTTCACAAATCCAATAAAAATATATAATTTAACAATAAATCCCCCACACCCGCGTTAAAAAACGCAACGATTAACTAATTCATACCCAATACTTGACACATGGCGATAGTTCTCAGGAGTTTCTCTTCTCTCTTTTCTTTTCTCTCTTTTTTCTTTTATTACTTTTCGCTGACGAATGGGTAGCGAAAGAAGGGACGGGTATGAGTATGGAAAGCAGGGGAGCGCAGAGGGTACATATTTATATCTATATACAATGACGTTTTGCTTTTCTTTTCTTTCAATTTGTGGTTTTTGATCCTGTATCACTTTTTTCAATGTCATACACGGAGCATATGATGTTCTTTCGGGTTTCGTGATATTCCTCGTTCATGGGCAGGCTGCTTAGAGATATAGAGAGGGAGAGCACACGCGTGTGTGGGTGGATTTGTGCTTCTCGAATAATAGAAGACCAGCATTGAGGATTTTTTTAACCTCCGTCACTTCATTGGCGTCGGCATGGTTCTTTGCTATCAGAGGCTCAAATAAAATGACAAATAAAGAAATAATGGTATTACACTACTAGTATGTAGGGCAAGCATCATAGGAAACGCTTCCAAGGTTAGGTCGTTGCCGTGCGCGCACATGCCCGTCCTCCTCATCAAAACCAGGACGAAGCACGCCGCCTCCTATACGCGACTGCGTACTCATTCTCCCATCCCAGCCATTACTGGGGAATTCCACTTCTACCATGTAATAACCAAATAACAGAGTTACTTCTTACTTCATGCCGAACCTGGTCGACAGCGCACTGAACTTATCCTGCCTCTGCGGGCTCTGTACCGCTGCAACAAGCCTAAACGAAAAGGAAAATACGACGGAAAACATATTCGTTAGCCCTTCCCGTCTACTATTATACCTCTGATACCTCCCCCTCCTTCACCTCATTCTATTAAAAAAAAAAAAAAAAAGAAAAAATCATATGGGAAAAAGAAAAGAGGAAAAGCAAAAGAAAAATCGGAGGGGGAAGAAACATACTTCTCTAACAAAATGGGCCCATTCATCGCATCAACACGGCCATACTTTTTATTCCTCGTCGAGATGTCATAGAACTCATCCGTGTTTTCGGCCTGCAGGAGCTGGACGGTCTGCTGGAGCTCGTCGAGGTTCTCGCGCAGGATGGGCACGCCGAGGCTGTCGACGAATTGGGTCAAGTAGTCGACATCCCGCGCGAGGGCAGCGACGCCGTTAGGGTTAATATTTTTCACGCCGGGTGACAAGGGGAGGGCCTTGTGTAAGAAAGAAGGAAAATATAAGTCATCCTCAATCGAGATATATATATATATATATATGTGTGTGTGTGTGTGTGTGTTTAGGAAGCAGCTTGTGTGGTGGTAACAATGATGATGACAATAATCGTCAAAAAATAAAGAAAAGAACATAACATACCAACACCATATTCGCCGCGTGGCTCAACGCATCGAAATATATCAACTCCTTAATCTCCGTTGGCAAACCCAACAACGTCGAGTTCATAATGTTCGACAAAAACCTCGTCAACGTCTGCATGTAGTTACTGGGCTCCCGCTGCGGCACGGGCGACATCCAGTCATACTCCGCCGTCTCGATCAAGTCGTCTATCTTCGAATTCACGACCTCGAAGATCCGCTTTTCGGCGGCTTTCTTGTTGCTGCGGAACTTGTCCGTTGCGTTTAGCGTTACGGCGGCACCTGCACAGCTGGAGTTGGGCGACCGTGCGGCGGCTAAGAGGAGTTCCAGTTCCTGGCAGGCTACCTCGAAGTGCTCGAGGTTTATGAGGATTTGAACGATTTGGCCTAGGTATTGTGAACCGAGGCGTTCGACGAGGGTTTCGCAGACTTTATCCGAGAGGAGCGAGTCGAGGGACTATTTTTTTTGTGTGTGTTATAGATGTGTTAGTACGAAAACGTAAGTATATCGGAGATCGTGGAGCTGGGTATATGTACCTCTCTCAAAGTCTCATCGATCATGCTTGGGTGTTGGAAATCGTCGTTGGAGAAGAAATAGAACTGGTTTAGGAAGTTTCGGATATCGATGCAACATAGCGGATACATTTGAGAGAATGGCAAAACGCATGGGAATCTGAGAGACAGTTAACCGTGGCCACTGGTGATAACACACATATATATTTGCGTGGTAGGTGGGTCTTACGTCTGCTGCTCGCGCGATTTCTCAGGATTATACCAGCTGACATTGAGGACTTTATCATATTCCTCAATGTTTTGAATTGGCATCGGCATGTAGTCATCGGTTGAAACAATCTTTGCAGAGGTCATTAGTTTACTGAATTCTTCCCTCGGGTAAAAGTTCATATCCACCCAATGGCATACCTCCTGGAAGTCGTCGCTGAATCTCCTCTTGAGAAGTTCAGCATATTTCTCAAACAGGTTTATGAGAAAGTTATCAAACACGCCGACGGGGAAGCCCCAGGTCTGTTTGAGACAAAAAAAAGATGAAAAGTCAGTCAGCATTTACATGTATATTTTACATGCGTGCGAGATATTGCATAGCTCACATCCATGGCTTGCATGAACAAAACGACTAAGTTCTTAATTTTCAAGATATTTTCGGCATTGTCGACGGTATGAAGTGCTTTTAAAATCAAAGCAACAGCACCCTGACACCTTGAGTCCCAAAGTTCATCCACCTATATAAATTGAACAAAGGAAACAAAAAACATGTTAGCGGGCTCCTTAGAAGATCACATCGAGTAGAAAAATTATCACAAAATTATCCCACTTACTTCGACAGGAGATCTGAGACTGGGAACCTTTTTCATTGTTGACCGCTCAACAATGGCAAACCCCGCAATCTCCTCTAAAAGCATATGCAAACTCGCACCATCATCCTCAACGACAGAAATCGAGGGCGGCAGAATCAGTTCCTTCTGCCTCCTCCTCGTCATCGCATACTCAACGCGAAACTTATCCATCTGCCCCAGCGACTGATGGATATGCAGACACTCAAACAGCGGCGTGAAATCCACCTGCAGGTCATCGTTCTGCAGCAGATCAAACTCCTCATGCTCATCCGAGACCAGCTCGATGGCCGAATTCAGTCGAAACTGGCGGAAATAGGGGTTGAGCTCCGCGCGCTCCCTCAGCCGCGTCTTGCGCAGGTCGGTATGGTACAACGCAATCTCCCCCAGATACTGCGACATTTCCCGGATGCGGTACAGCCACGTATTCAGGTCTGCCATGACGGCCTCCGCAATCGCCTTCTGTGTGGCCGGCACGGAACGCTGAATCGTCTCAGCGATTTTATACTGCGTGACATCGCGCAGGTGGACGTTCTGCAGCTCGTCAAGAGCGCGCAGGGCGGCGTAGTGGTTCTTCTTGGCCAGCAGGTCATTGACGTGATTTGCCAGGCGTAGCACCTCCAGGCAATCCTGCAAGGCGCGCGAGGTCTCATCGATGTTCTGCCGATGGCTGCGCGATTCCACGAGGGCCTTCTTTTGTTCCGCCAGCCGCTCCGTGCTGGCCTGTATGGATTGGTTGAGGTCTAGGATCTCGGAAGTCAAGCTGACAGTGCCTTCGCGGACGCGGAGGAGTTGGTTCACGGAAGCGACGAACTCCTGGTGGTTGGAGTTGCAGGCTTTCTCGATAGCCAATTCACGGTCGCTGGCGAATCTGGAGAGGGACTGGAGGAGCTGGGAGGTTTTGTTTCCGCGGCTGTATTCGCGGATTGAGGGGATGAGTTGGTCCAGGTAGTCGGTGTCTGAGGGGGAGATGACGATCTACGTACATAATTATTTATTTAGCATGTAGTTAGGGGATGCTGGTTTGTACATAGGTATGGACTTTTACAGACCTGGTTGAGAATATCAGTGGGGTCTCTATGCGAGGGGATTGCGCCAGGCATGACTACGGGAAGCGCCGCGGGAATAGCTGCGGAGGCCGGGAGGTTTAATTGGGTATCAAGAAGGTGGGTTATCGTGATAGATTGAAATTTGAAAGAGAGAGAAATCCCAGTGGTCATTGAGTCATAACAAAAGCAAACAAGAAAAGTAATTGACAACAGACTAACAAAAAGGGGGTATCCCAGTGCTTTTGTCCAACGTAGTAGTAGTGGAAGTAACTATATCCAAGTTTCCAAAAATGCAACGAGGTGGACCAAGCTCGGCGGTGAGGGTCGAGACAGCGAAAAAGGCGGCAGAATAACCACTCTATGGATACCTTATGTGTATATATATTTATATATGGGGATATGGATGCTTGTGGACTCCTTTGCTAACGAACTATTCGCTTTCCCTCCCTTTTGACTTCAACTTGGTGATCCGTCTAGCTAGCTGTACTATCAATAGCCAAAGATGAAAGATGTTGATGCCTGGATGCCAGGATACTGGTGCCAGTATTCTCGGATCGCTGTCCATTTTCAATATATGGCTGGCTGTCTGTTCTTTCAGGAGCCCCCTGGAGATTGTATATCAATTCTAGTAGTACTTGTTCTTTAGTACTCCATGCTTTCTACATGACAGGGCTCTGGCTGTGAAAACAATCCAAAGATGAGCTGGGGGGATATAGGGATCCATCTCCTGGAGTGCTGAAATGAAAATGCCTTTTTTCAGTCTTCTTCCCTTCTGCCAATATCACCAGAGACCCCCTTTTCTGTGAGTGATTGTTGTATGTCCAAATGTACATATACAATTGTGTGAATCTTCTGATACTCTGATACTCCTTTCTCTGTTCTGTGAAGAAGGGACTGTGAACTGTGAAAAAGAGCATGCTATCCAGACAATTCTAATTCTAGTATGCATATGGAAACTTGAAGTGTCATATGAGTCTTGCTGAATGGATATGAAAAATATCCCAAGCCTGTCCATACTCCCTATACAAGGTCCTAGACAGGTCCAATCAGTATACATCCACAGTCCATATATATCCCATATTCACCACATCCCCACTGTATTCACATCTTGTCTGTTCCTCTCTGCTCCCAACCCCGCTCTTCATCATGCTGCACCTCTTCTTTTCCTCTGTCTTCAGTGCTCATCTTCTCCTCCATTTTCCTGTTTTGTCCTCTTCTGCTGTCCCAAGGTTGGCTCCATATATCCTCACCCCTTCTTTTGGTCTTTCACTGGGCTGGTCTGAGGAAATGAGGAGCTGTCTCCATGCCTCTGCACCTCATCTCTTCTTGTATCTGCCATTGTTCACTGTGTTCTCTCCCGCCACCAGCTCTCCCTTCCAGCCTGCTTCCCCGCACTGCTTGCGTCTTGCTCATTCACTGTTCCTTTTCCCCACCTCTCTTCCTCCATCTCCCTCTCCCTCTCCCTCTGCCTGTCTCTCTGTCTTCCCCCCTCCCCAGCCCTCCTACTTTTCTTAGCCCACGCTCACTCTCCTCTCTCCTCTGTTCTGTTCTCACTGATCCATTGCTCATCTCGTTCCTCCCGGTTTCTATATAGCTTAGCCGATATATCATAGGTATATATCTTTTCCATCTACACGCTTTTATCCTCGTATATCCTTCCATCCATTTCTTCCAACGCCAACGGCGACAACAACAAAAACAACAACAACAACAACAACAACAACCTCCTGCTTTGCTGGCTGCCCAGTATTATTCTCTTCAACCACTGCTTTCTCACTCGTTTGCCCCTTTAGGTGCGTTTGCTTGTCGTATCTCAGTTTCTCGCCCAATGCTATCCATTCGCTTCCATCTCAACTTCTTCATCGTAGCCATCCACTTCTTCTTCTTCTCCTTCTTCTTCTTCTTCTGACCAGATTTCTCCTGATAGACAACAAAAAGGAAAAAGTAAAAGAGAAAAAAAAACAAACCCCTGCACTTCCAACAAGCAAACAAGCAAGAAAACAAAGTCCCCTAATCATACCAACATCGTCTTTTATCCCTTTTGCCCCTCTTTGATCAAATTCCCTTCCACAAGCAAGAATGAGAGGCAACGGAACTTCTGCTGTTGCAAGCAGCCCTCACTCCTCAGACCTGGCAGCCTCACGCAACGGCTCCCCCGAGACAAAACTCACTGCTTTCTCTCCGGAAGACCTCCGTCTGAAATCCCGCTTCGAGTCCGGAAGGGCTTTTTGTGGTCCTCTTGACGGCAATCAACGCCCTTTCTTTTCCATGTAAGTTAAGTTTTGATATATCATATAATACTGTCTCGCTCCTTGGGCACTAAAAGCTAACCCATTTTATCTAACTCGCGCCTTGCTTAGCAACAATGGAGTGGGCCATCACCAGGGTCAAGATCCCTTCTTGTCCACTCCGTCTTCTGCTGGTCGCGCTCAGCTGTCGCCAACGGCCACCAGTTTCACCCCGTCTGGGTTTAACATTAATCCATTTGGATTTTCTCCCCGCTCAGCCTTCCCTGGAGATCATCATCATCATCATCATCATCATCAGCACCAGTCAATGCTGCCTAACATGGGCTACTTGGCTGCCACCTCAGAGCCTGATGCGCCTCATGATGCCAGCAATGTCTTTGGGACGCGCTCAACTCAATGCCTCTCGAGCTTTGGCCCCATCGGGAAAGCAAAACTGGTGAAAACCCCACTTCCTATGATGTTTGCGCACCTAGGGAAATTTGATAGCGAAAACCGCAACCGCTCCTTTGCCATCGAGCGTGTCCCAGCAAATCTCCCCTATCTCACTCTTGCCGAGGTTTTCAACGTAAGTACAAAGGCCCTCGGACATCCGGCGATCGCTGTGTGTCAGTAATAGCTGACCTCGATTCTCCTGATAGCGTCGGGAATTCGGGACTCTCAAGGGCCCTGTGTTCACAGAACTTAACTCCACGGGGACCATCTACGTAGGCTTCACTGACATTCGTGATGCCAAAAACGCTTCTGAAAAAGTTGGGCGTCTTCATCCAGAATGGCGCGTCCGCTTTTTAACAGCAAGGGAGTATGCCCAGAAGTTCGACCCAAGCAACTCTGATCTAGTTTCCGATTTCGAAGGTCAAGTTTTTGCCTCTGTTTTCTATGACAGCTCTAACCCCGCATTGGATGCGCGTGTTGTGTCGCACTCGTTCAAGGATCTCTTGGAAACTTTTGGCGACATCAAGGCTTTCCATGGCCTACCAAGTACTCAAGGAAATGTTGACGAGTTTTTGATCGAATTCTTCGATACCCGTGCTGCCGATAATGTCGTTTCGACTTTGAACGGCACATCAGTCGATGTATGTACTTCCCTTCCGATAGCACTGACAAATACTGTCTGCTAAGATGTCATTCATCAGGAATGCGTTCTAGAGCTTAAACTCCACAAACCAGACATGGCAGAGCCACAAACGCCTCGCCATGGATCTTTCGAATCCAAAGATTTCTTCACCTCTTCTGACTTGGTGCACAGACGACCATATAGTCGTCGATCTACGACTCAAATGTCTCCTAGTCCATATCACGAACTTAGCCCTACTGGCCGCTCTATCATTCCCATTGATGATCACGCAGCAGCCATGGGTTGGATGCCAAAGGGCGATGACCACTTCGGCTTCCGTCCTCGTCATGAGCTTAACCGCCATGGTGATCCTCGCTCTAACAACCAGAACTTCGTTGATATCGAACGGATCCGCTGTGGTGTCGACGTCCGTACTACGGTCGGTTTCGTCTTGAATCGCTCCCCTCTTGGCTATTGCTGACGTTCATCACTAGATTATGCTTCGCAACATTCCAAACAAGATTGATCAGGTATATACAGCTTCCATACCCTCGTTTGTCTCAGGTTCCGACGTGTATTAACATATTGTTTCTAGGCGATGCTTAAGGATATCGTCGACGAAACCAGCCACGGTAAATACGATTTCATGTACTTGCGTATAGGTAAGTTTTCACCTGCCGATTTCGGGCTGTATTCCTAGTACTAACAATGATCTCTCAGATTTCGCAAACAACTGCAAGTTAGTTACCAACCAACATAGATGCCTTCCCCATAATTGTAAGGCTTTCATTCTGATGCGCAGTTTCGCAGTGTCGGTTACGCGTTCATCAATTTCGAAGATGTGAGTATCTCGCCTATACAGACAAGGTTCTATTTTTTTGAATCGTATTTGTACTAACTTCTATCATTAGCCAATTGATATCATTGACGTATGGCCCTATCTTCCCTTCTCACTATGCTCACATAAACGGGCACTTACACTTCCTCCCCCTTTGTAGTTCGCGAAAGCCCGTGCAGGTCACACATGGTAGGCTTTAATTCACAACTTGGATCCGAGCAAAGACAACTATGCTAACCATTCAAAAAGGAACTGCTTCAACAGCGACAAGGTCGCGGAAATATCTTATGCCAGTAAGTTGAAATATTTTCCACATTTTTCCCTTGTATTTTTCGTTGTTTTCGTTTGTCGTTTGTCTCAGGCTCTAGGCATACTAACGTTGTCACCCTCTAGCCATCCAAGGAAAGGACTGCCTTGTCCAGAAATTCCGCAACAGCTCCGTAATGCTAGAGCATCCTTCCTTCCGCCCAAAGGTAGGGATGCCCCTGGAAGCTTCTCATATAATAAAACGAAAGACGCAGACTCTGACGCCACTCAGATTTTCCATACGGGCAGCGGCGCGCTGGCTGGCAGCGAAGACCGTTTCCCTGGGCCGGACAACCCTTCGAAAATGCGCCGCAGCGTCGAGAACGCAGAGCATGTTGGTATGGCTTATTTTCCTCTTGTTATTTCGTCTACTTCTTTCCCTGCTAGGATATCCCTCCCGCCTCCCCGAATCAACAGAGACAAAAAGTAGTCTTTACACTAACACCAATAAAATACCAGGTCTCTTCGCCCCTCGTGTCGGCCAGCAATATCGCGACGAGCAGCGTCGTCGTCGCTCTCAATTTGACCGCGGGACTACTGCCGCTGAGCGAGAGGCATATTTCGTTCGCCCTTCCAGCTCTTTCACGACCAGACGCGGTGCGTTGAATGGAAACGGGAGCGGCAACGGAAACCTGAGCTGTAGCATGATGCTGCCGGTGATGATGTCCCCGTGTTACGAAGGCCCTGTTTCTGGTGCTGGTGGTGATGCTGGGCCACGGTCTTCTTGAGAAAAAAAGAGGACGTGCGGTTGATTTTGCATGTTTTTGTGTGCATGTGTGCGTGTGTGGATTGAGTGGGAAGCTAATGGAAAGGAAAGTAACTGTTTTCGTTTAAATATTCGTTCCTTTTTTTGTCTGTTTTTTGTCCTTGACTGGATTCCGATAATATCTCCCCTTCACTCACCACCCCAAAACCTGTAGGGTGTGTTGTCTGGATTTACGTTGTGTATGGCTGGTCGATCAATAATTCAGTTCTTCTTCTTCCCCTATCTCCTTCATTATGTCATATTCGTACCCACTCTTCTCCCTCCCATCCTCCCTCACACTCGCATTTCTCCCATTTTCTTGTGGTCAGAGCAGTTTTTGTGAGATCCTTCCAAAATAACGGAAAAAAGAAAAGCAGAGGAAGAGAAAAGGAGAGCAATGGAAGGTCAATCAGTCAATATTTTAACGACCGCCATTGGGATTAAAAAAATCAAGCGGCAGAAATACTACATTTACCGGCTTTCCCTACCGCGTTGTCGGTTGCCCATAATTCCGCTTGGGCACAAGCTCATCAACCCACGGACAAAGGTGCTTAGTTTGGCTTGATGCGTTTCTCAATGGCGAAAGGTACTCGGGCGTTTGTTGTTGGGCTTATTGGTGCTGGAAAAGGAGCTGAGTTGAATTGGGCTTTCGCTTCCTCTTTTTTTGCGTTTTTCCTCTCCCTTTTACTCGCGCTCGCGCTCGCGTCCTCTCATGTGTTTTTATTTATGTTCCTTTGTTCTACGAGTCCTGGGCTTAAGACGTCGTTTTTTTTTCTCGACCGGTTAACAACTAATTAATGTAACATGTTGCGTTGAAAAAGGGGCAGATAAGAAAGGAAGCGGAGAGGAGCTTGCTACCATATCTACCCCCTACCTTTTCACTAATTTTGACTTTGATATATTTTCTGTCTTATTGTCACCATATTCGTTCCCTTCCTTTCTTAGGTGATTGATATTTTTAGTCTCTGTATGTATGCAATGCATGTAGGAATGTGTGTACTTTTAATTAATATAGGCTCATATCTGAAAAATCCGCTTTCTCTCTCTCACTATCGAAGAACAACACCCATCTCAGCATTCAGAGCCTTACTTGCACTAACCACTTGTTAAGGGCGCCTAGGTCTTGTCTTACCTAGGTCCTTGCTGGGCCCAGGGTGCTCTAATAGGGGTGCCTGGGTATCCTTGCGGGTTTCTCCACCCCCACTACACCCCCACCTTATCTATCCAGTAGTGATCTAACTTGATAAGTCTGGGAGGGTTCCAGCCTAATGACAGCCGGCGCCGTCCGTAGTACATTACAATAACAGTGTTTCTACCTCTCTAATTCTCCCCTCTTCTCGAGACAATTTACCTTTTGTTTGAGATGCCAGAAACCTTCTCACCGACTTTTAATTGGAGCGTGAGGGTTTGCATGGGACACAGTAAGATCATGTCATGTGTGATTTCGTCAACAACCGGCTACAAGAAATGAAATTTCGTTCAATTTTTTTTTTTTTTTTTTTTTTTTTTTTTTTTTTTTTTAATCTATCGGACATCATCGCTCGATCCGTTCCTTTGTAGTAAATCTTGAGTTGCGCTGGCTGCTGGCTCGAGACCTTTTAATACGACGATGTCTACCAAAACAAGTGGAGAACAACCACATGCGGCGGCCATAGGAAGTGGAAAACAGGGCTTCCCGTCCGCTCAGTACTTAAGCCACTTGCCAATCCCAGGGTCCTCGCATAGCGCCCGTTGGTAGATCATACTTGCAGGAGAACTTGGATTCCAGCGCTTCATAGCGTTTGGAAAAGGTTTCGTACTCAGTTTTCACCAACTGTTTAGTAGTGGGTTAGATTCTCGATTGGCAAGAAGAATATTGATAATTTCTCGTATAGTTTCAATTTGGGGGTGGTTTTCCTCGCTCATCCATGGTTAGAATCCATTGAACAAGACATTCTTCCTCAGTAAGACTAGGCTTTTGGTTTTCCGGATGAGCATTGACGAGCGCCGTACGACCCTTCACCCGATGGTTAGGAGTCGAATAAGAGACATTATATAGCTTTGTTGAAGCTCGTACACTTGAAATCTGATTGTTACCAAGCGCTTTAATGGCTAAAAGAAGCCTTCCCTCTTGATAAAAAGCTTGGTAGCTTTGCGTGGTTGACACCTTTTGATAATCAAAAGTGTTGGGCATCTCTTCATTTGAGCAAGACCTATGCCAACTATTAGAGTAAGGGATTAACTGAGAGCGCCTGGTTAACTACTAGACCGTCTGTGGATTGCAAAAGGAACTTGTGTGTATTAAAGGAAAGCCATAGCAAATAAAGATTGGTGGGGTTAACCAACACCATATGTGGCGGTGAGGGGGAATGTGGCTGACCTTCATGAACAACAGTCAACTTTGCTATGAATAGTTCTTCCACCTAAAGGGCCATGATAACCTGTGATGCTGCCAGACAGAAGAGACTCTTTTTCATTTCAGATTCAGTTTGCCATATGATAAGGAACTCTTATACACATTCATTTTGAATAAGCGCGTGGGGATTTCCCGCACCCTGTTTTTGCTGCTCATTCGCCCAACTCGCTCGGGGTTACACAGGGAAGCCAGATTTCTATGTAGCCTAGCAGTCCAGTTGCCCAACTGATTATTTCTATTTTCAATTTTCTACACAGTTGCCCGTATTTGCCCTTTCCCCTGGGTACTATTTTATCGCTATTTACTCGACTCACACCTATCGAGGTGCATATGAAAGTATAGCCATGGCAGCTCCGCATTCCAGCTCGGACAACGATTTGACGGGAATCCTGGTGGCACTTGAAAGGATACAGATTGACCACTCTCACTTGTCCAGCTCCATCGAGGATATAAAAGCGAAAGTTGAGTTACTAGCATCTCATGGCGATGTTCCTGAGCACGACACAAGGGATGAAGCCCGAGAGCTGGGGTCTGAGGTAACTCCAGTGTCTACACACATCCCGCGTAGGACTTCTGGTGCCTCTCGGATTATCCTTACCACATACCCTGGCCAATCTGGAATAAACCCGATAGCTGTGGACTGGGGAAACGCAGATCCAATCAAACGAGGACCCGTTGTAGTGAGCAGGCATCCCGACACAGTCAAGAGAAGAAATGGTCAGTCAGGACAGCTTTTTCCCAATTATGGGATAAGAGAGCATCGTTACTGACACTGCGATGCAAGCAATCGGGGCTCATGGTGGTTCCTATTCCATCTACTACGCGCTCGCGGTCGCTAGCAAAGATCTCAACGCCGATCACCGCCCCGATTTCACGAATACGGAGCCCCCCGTCAACATTGGGCCTTTCCCGCAGTGGGCTGATCCGAAAAAGATAGTTTCGATGGATCCATGGGGACATCGTGCTCCATTTGATTTTGCTGATATGATCAACAAGGGAGGCGTGGATATTCGACCGACTATTGCCATCACAAAAGCGCATATGAAGCTTCCCGAATTGAAGCAGAGTGTTGAAACGGGCAGGTTGAAGGTGGACGGGAAGATATGCTTGAATGAGTCAGGAGAGTTGGCGGTGACGAAAGTTGCTGTTGAACCAGTCTGGTATCTACCAGGTGTAGCCCAAAGATTTGGCATAGGTGAGCACTGTCTTCCTTCGTTCAACCCCATTAAGATGCCCGAATTAAAAGGTAGCTATTTTTTCCCAATACGTGGATATGATTCTCATGAATTTGCTGCAATCATAATTTATAGACGAAGGAACTCTGCGCAGATCGCTTTTCGAAAACACAGGTGGCTCATTCCCAGAGCTGATCACCAGAGGCGATATTAAGTTGTTCCTTCCACCCATTGGAGGCTTGACAGTGTACTGTTTTGGCGACCCTGCCAAGATGTCTGACCGAAATGTGAAACTCGCTCTTCGCGTTCATGACGAATGCAACGGCAGTGATGTTTTTGGATCTGATATCTGTACCTGCCGCCCCTACCTGATTTTTGGGATAGAAGAAGCAGTCAAGGAGGCCCAGCTTGGAGGAAGTGGCGTTGTCATTTACTTTCGAAAGGAAGGCCGTGCTCTTGGAGAAGTCACAAAATACCTGGTCTACAATGCCCGTGAGTTTTCTTATTCATGCTGTTATCTTTTTCCCCCTCATATCTCTGATATAGCTGACTTCCTATGTAGGCAAGCGAGGGTCTGATCGTATGTTTACTTAGCCGAGAATGCGAAAATAACATATCTAATTTAGAGTATGTAGGTGCCAGTGAGTATTTTAAGAGAACCGAAAATATCGCCGGTGTCAAGGTATGCTATATATTTGGCTATATAATAAACAGCCCCAACCACATACCCCGCTTTTTCTGGCATCCCAAAAACTGATAGCGAGGACTAGGATATGCGATTCCAGGCTCTTATGCCCGATGTACGTAAAACGGACAAACGATTGGCAGTATTCACCCTTTTAATTGACCTTTACTTATGTCTGCAGATTTTACACTGGTTGGGTATTACCAAAATCGATCGAATGTTGAGCATGTCGAAGTGAGTAGATACTATCGTCCTTGTTGAGAACCAATCACTGCGTCGCACAGAGCTAATGATCTGTCTAGCATGAAACATGATGCTATCGTTGAACAAGGCATACCGATCCATGAACGAGTCCCGATACCGGATGATTTGATCCCTGAAGACAGCCGGGTAGAAATCGATGCCAAAATCCACGCTGGTTACTGTATGCCGAGCCCCAGTATTTTCCTAGGCTTCGTTTGATAATACAACGCTAATATGGATGAACAGTCACTACCGGCAAGATCTTGACTATGGATGAGCTTTCCCAAGTGCAAGGGCGGGCGTGGGAAGATGTGGATGTAGGTGATCCTTTTTCCTTTCCTCACATCTTGTTCCATCATTTTTCTTACTGGGTGCTACTAGCACTGAGGGAGATGTCGTCGGCCTTTGTCCATCGTCATGGAAATAAACAATGAAGTACACGCCGGTAACGAAGTTATGAAACCAAAATCTTTTTTTCGCGCCCTGATCTGTGCCTAATGTAGCTTTTGGTGGAGACTCCAGGAATACTCAAATATTTCTCAAATAATACAAAATGGAACATCCTATTTTAATATTTCAATTACATAATTATGGTTGTGAGAACAACAATGGGGAGAAAAAATATCAATGTTCCTCTATTTGGTTTCTCCAGGATATCACTGATCGAGTTTCCTTATCCTTTCTCCTTTCCATTCGAATTCATTGTCCTCCGCGCTCTCCCGTTCAATTAACGTTCAGCAAGAGAATTGTATACTTGTGTAACCATAGCATAGCATAGCTGGTGGCCAAATTATTTCTCCCTTCGTGAAATCTGATTTCACGTTAAAAACGACTAATGACTTCAGCTTCGGTTGTATATACAGCGTATATATCCGTTGACTCCGTCAGATTTGAAGGAATGTGAAATGAACAAAAACATGCACCTATATTATAAGATGGGTTCCTCGTCCTTTGGTTGTCGTGGTAAAATACCCACAAAAAATTCGTGTTTTGTAAGGTTAACTATGCCCAGTAGCGAAGACCTTCTCATACTAAAACATTGTAAATGCATAAAATGACTTTCATGCGTAAGTTGGAGGTGAAAATACGCTAACCTATAGTGGCTAGTATGGAGGGCTCGCTTAGCGGGAAATTTGTGTGGGATTCCCATCACACTTGACATGCTCGATTCAATGCCTTCGGATGCGATAACCTATCTCTCTTTCCCAGCTGCAAGATAGGACCATATCGCAAATATGGCTGTCGGAAAGTAAGTTGCTTCGTTTGTCTCTGTTTCTGGTTTCCTTCTGTTATAACCATAAATTACTGACTAAATTGTTAAGGAACAAGCGTCTATCGAAAGGTAAGAAAGGCCTGAAAAAACGGACTCAGGACCCTTTTTCGAGGAAAGATGAATATTCCGTGAAGGTATGTTGGCCGGGGGATTGGAAACTGAAGTTGTAATGGGAATAAAATGCTAATTATCCCGTTTTCATTAGGCTCCCTCGACCTTCGCCGTCAGAGAGTACGATGTCTTTCCCGATTCCTTTCATATAATGCCAGATTTTGGAAAATAAGCTAACTAAGGGAAAAACAGTGTGGGAAAGACATTGGTTAACCGAACTACGGGCCTCAAGAACGCCAATGACTCCTTGAAGGGACGGATCTTTGAGGTTTCGCTCGCCGACCTGCAGAACGATGAGGACCACGCATTCCGTAAGGTCAAGCTACGGGTTGACGAGGTCCAGGGAAAGAACTGCCTGACCAACTTCCACGGCCTCGATTTCACGTCCGACAAGCTTCGATCGCTGGTCCGCAAATGGCAAACTCTGATTGAGGCTAACGTCACCGTTAAGACCACCGACGACTACCTCCTCCGCTTATTTGCCATTGCGTTTACAAAGAGACGACCAAACCAGATCAAGAAGACTACTTACGCCCGCTCCTCTCAGATCCGTGCCATCCGCAAAAAGATCACTGAGATCATCCAACGCGAGGCTTCGTCCCGTACCCTCGCCCAACTCACAAAGCTCATTCCTGAGGTCATTGGACGGGAAATCGAGAAGTCTACCCACGGCATCTATCCTCTGCAAAATGTTCGATTGGAACCCCACTTTTTCCTTCCCTTTCTTTCTTTTCCCCGTCATCGCTTATGTACAGTTTCACCAACTGTCATCTCGTACTAATTACACCCTTCGAACAGGTCCATATCCGCAAGGTCAAGCTCCTGAAATCGCCTAAATTCGATTTGGGTGCTCTTCTTGCTTTGCACGGAGAGTCAAGCACTGATGACAAGGGGCAGAAGGTATATAGATATACACATTCCCAAACCCTATTCCTTCCTTCCACCCCTTGGCATATTGTATAGATTTTTACTAATACCTCCATCTTCGTTCCGTAGGTCGAGAGGGAGTTCAAGGAGCAGGTTCTCGAGTCCGTTTAAACTGGGCTGGAAAACGAAATGAACGGGGCGTTGGAGAAATGGAAATTAAAACTCGCGTCTGGTTTATATGTGCTGGCTGTTGTTTAACGTGGATTATGGTTACAACTGTTTGATGTCCTTTCTCTCCTTTGCTCTCCTTTTCCCTTTTGAAAAAAAAAAAAAAAAAAAAAAAAAAAAAAAAAAAATCATTGAACAAGATCAGAACCTTAAAGCCACACATGTCTAGATAGCTGTATTTTCAATTTTTCTCCATGGGTAACGCACGGTAGTGGTAATGTTTTCAATTTTAAATGCTTTTTTAAATGTATTGCTTCTTATCCCCCCGGGTTAATGATAGCTCAGTTCAAATAACTTTATATCAGTTACTGGCAGGTAGCAGCTCCCAGTGTATAATTCGCTACCATTATATGTTTATCCACACAACTTCAATAACAGCCCCGAGTGGGTTGCTGCAGGGTCTTTGCGAATTGAAACGATTTTATATTTGAATATAATCTAGTGCACCTGGCATTCTACCACCCTTGAATAAAAAAAAACACTGTTTTACAAGAAGGTATACGTATTCTATAAACCGCACACGACAGTGCAGACTAAATTACTGAAGGAACTCCGTAACAGCTAAGTACAAGTAAAAATGCCGTTAGTTTCCCTGGTAGGGTTTCTTAAAACGGAGAAGGAATTATCAGGAAAAACGAACCGTTTTTGAACGCATCAGGATTCTCTGAAATCACCCAGTGTCCAGCATCAATGTCTACAAGGCGATAATTGGGAAAAAAGTGCGCAATAATAGGCAAAGTTTGATCTTGCACATAGTGGCTCCTTGTCCCTCTTATAAAAAGCGACGGACCTTCAAATTTGATATTGTTAGACGTGTTGAAGGGGAAACCTGCGAGCTCATCCAAAGATTGACCAAGAAGTTGTACTGGGACCCGGAACTTTAGCGTATTGTCTTCCTTCGATCGAATAAGGTTGGTGAGGAGGAATTGGCGGATCGTGAGGGACTATAAAAAGTTATAGATTAGAATTAGACCAGATACTTTTTCAGTGGCGAAGACAGGTGTTTGGAGGGAATATATATATATATATATATAATATATATATATATGTAAGTAAGATCTGTATGGGTAATATGAACTAACCTCCTCATATTGCTGGAGGACACGATCCGCATCACTTTGCTTCGTGAAATTAGCTCTCTCAATTTCCTGCATGCCTTTTACGTATTTCGCGAATTGGTTGCCTAAGGTTGCGGAAATGGGCGCGTTGTCCACTGCGACAAATGATGATACGAGCTTGGGACACCGCAATGCGACGGTCATTGCGGTCTTCGCACCCCTAAATTTCCCCAGGCAATGTCAGAAGCGATCCATATTTCCATGCGTGGCATGTGAGCGGGGACATTAATTACATCGAATGGCCAATGAGGGTAGGCTTTTCGAGCTTCATGTTATGTATAAATTCTTCGACGTCATCCGCCATTGCGTTATAGTTGTGCTCTGGGAGATGTGGAGAGTCGCCATGATTTCGAAGATCCTTTCAATGTTTATAAAAAGCGAAGTTAGGTATACACCGACTATATCGAGCAAATAAACGTAGGAGGGAGGAGGAATCCCCTACAAGCGTATAGATGCGAGTCTTCAGACAACTCGCCAGAGCTCTGTAGCCGCATCAGCAAACATTCCGAAGAGAGCAAGGGGTTCCGGCTCCTCCTTACTTACTGATACTCCTGTTATTCTGCTTGGAGCCAAACAGCCCATGCAAAAAAATTATAGGGCTTCGCCTCTCGTCGATGGTCGCAGAGCCATCTCCAACCGGCCATGTTTGATAGGCAAGTTGGACACTACTCCTCGAATGTGATGAGCTGAAGGATCTGTAAGGGAAACGCCATACGCATCCACGGGTAATGCGGGAACCCATGGTATTTGCAATTTTCCATTAGCTGTGGCACGCGGATCGAAGTGACATATGTGATTATCGAGAACTAGAAATCCGACCTCAGGTTCATTCAAACTAACCTGAAGGTTGGTAGAGGTACTTTATCACGTGACATTGGAAGAGGTGTTGGGCCGCCATGCTGGCAACCAATACAACAACTCAGACGTCTAATATATGGCAACATATGGATATAGGTAGTTACAAGGTTTTGTGAATATGCTTCAGTATAAACTATACAACTCGCTGTTGTTGCTATTATAATCGAATTCCCGCTGCTTCCTCTTTTTTGGCCGCATGATATGCCTTCTTAGCAGCCGCAGCCCGATGCGTTACAGGGTGTCCCAAAGCCTTCCTGGCAGCTTCATTTCCAGCTATAACTTTGCTAAACCCAGTCCCCGACCCTAGACATTCATTCTTATGGCCCCAACCGGTCAAGTAAACCCCGACGAAAAACGTTTGTAAACCCCCCGAGTGGCAAATTGATTGTTTCTCGTCCAAGTAGGATAGTTTGATTCCTTTGTCCATAACTAGTTTAGCAAGATCCTCCTTGTATCGGAGCACAGGTTTGTCTTTCTCTATTTGCTCAAGCTTTGGTATCCAGAGTTGTGTCAGCCAATCTTCGGCCAACTGCACGCCGTTGTCACGATTAGACAAGATGACAGCTGCAACGTATGCTTCAAAAAGGTCGCCTTTAATTTTCGTCCATGTTTTTATTTGATCCCGAATATTTGGAGGCACTTGCAGTTTTTGATCCAGGCCATAAAGGGACGTGTATTCAGCCAACGTTTCATTTTTCACTAGAAGTTCCCTTATCTGGGAAAGACGCCCAGCCGGGAGACGAGGAAAGGTATCCCACACTAGCCGGGTTGCTATAATCTCAATATACGCATCGCCTAGGAGTTCCATCCTTTCGTAATTTTTCTCTGGCAAGGAGGCGGTATTCGGGTTATGGACTCCTTCGTGAGTGAACATCGCCGTTTGTAGTTGCTTATCCAGAACGGGTGGGAGAGGCGGAAGTTTGCTCTGGGCATGCAATTCGAGCGAAGAGGAGCGTAGTCGACTACGAGGAGATTGTGAATAATACAAAGATTCTGGTGTCGGTTTTTCTGGAGAAAGTGCCTTGGCAAGCGCTGTCAGAACTACGACCAGGTCGGGTTCAGATCCATCGAGGGCTTCTTGAACCTGATCCGGGTGGTTCAGTAGTTTACGGGTGAGTTTTCTAAGCTTTTCTAAACGATGTTTGGTTTTATTTGCACGTTTCTGGTTGCTTGAAGCGGATTGTGAATTTGTAGAAACGGTGTCAGACTCCGAATCGCAGAGTTTCTGTTAGGGAGAATCTCTGTTAGCTAATAATCGTCGAAACATAGACAAAGGGAGATCAAGAGATACGTAGTCTGGATGGCTTTCGCACTGACCTTACGTCTTTTCACGGACTTCCTTGCCGTCACCATCCCGGAGCTTTCAAGTTCAAATTTCCGTTTCGTGTCCATCACTTTTTCGGTGTCGGTATTCCCGAAGTGAGTATCCGAGAAGCGATCGTTGAAAGAAAAGTTCGAGGAATTATGGCATTGTGAACTCTTCCGCTGCAGGGTTAGCTCTAATGCCTAGGATTCAAGGTCCTATTGGGGAACGTTTTCACCCGCGTCCGAAGTATGTTGTTATTTGATCAATAAATACTCCTTGCTGGCACAGAGTTTGAAACAGACTGGAGAAGAACAAAAAAGGACTAGCGGCCAAGCTCGCAAACCACCCTCAGCCAAACAAGGACCTTCCAATGTTGTGTGTCGACGACATACCACGACTACAACGAGGAGCGACTCCAGACCGCGGACGAAATGTCTGTCCCTCGCTCTAGAATTCTAGACCTTGTGAAGGCTGGTTCTGTTCACCGCTTGCTAGCATTGATACACTGGCTAATTGTTTCCGAAGGCCCAATGTCGGATTTTCTCCCACACCTACAACCCAGAGCAACAACGACTTGGGAATAAAGTTTTACGTCAGCGATTACGAGGGCCCGCACTGGCGGCGTATTACCCGCAAAGGATAGGCACTCTGAAGGAATTGGAAGATGCCTACGATGCTCTTGGGCTCCGGTTTGTGGATTACCCGGAAGGGAAGCGGCTGGCTGTCATAGAGAAGTACGTGCGGTGTTCGCCGATCAATGCAGATATTATTATTTGGCTAACCAACGCCAAAATAACAGACTCCAAAGCCGTGGGAAGGGAGCCCCTAAGAAGAGACGCACTGCAGCAGGTAAGAAAGGCTTCACGTAGCTAGCATCAGGGCAGGCACGGTTCGCTGACTTATTCCCTTTCATTTAGAGTCGAGATCGGCCAAGAGACGGTAGTCGGCTACCTACATTCACATGTATACTAGTGCTACACACTGTCATTTCGGTGGATCATTCATAAGTCTATGGGTATTATGATGGTTTTTTCTCGGCATTCTACCACTGGTGCTCAGTTTGAGTGGTTAGAAGGAGTTGTCTTGGTTTTGTTTAGGCAATTGTATTCTACTAGAAGGTTGGTATTTATAAATATACCCAAGCCCTTGGTGGTGTTTCCAGAAAATTGCTCTTTCACTAGTTATTATTGATGCAAATTATCCGCTTGTTTTATTTTTCACCTAGTGTTTGACGAAATATTTAATCACGTGATCAAAGAATTAAACCTAGCTTATCTCTACTTTACGCGCATCCCTTTGGCATTCTCTTTTCTCTCCCGTCCGTTCCCAAAGTCTAGCATCACATAATCTATACAAGTGTCAGTTTATATATGTGCGCTGATTGCCTCCCTGTCTTCCAAGTAATTCGTGTCGACTGAGCTGAAGGGTCGAAGGATCCTGTGCCAATTCTTTTGTAATTTTCCAATATGCCAGCCGCAACTCCGAAACCCACGAAGAATCAACTGAAGAGGGCTAAGCGCAAAGCGAAAAAGCATGAGGTATGTTGGATCTTTTCTTTCTTGGTATGTACGTCTACTGATTTTTTTTTCCCCCCCTCAGTTTAAATCTAGCAACGATTCTCCGGCTCCGCAAAACCATTCGGAGCCTGTTGAGACGAACAATAAGCAAGACGATCTCCCACAGGAGGCTCCTCCCGAGCGCAAGGGCGACAAGGGCGATGCTAGTGATCCTGAGAACCTCTACGATTCAGTGGACCCCTTATTTGAAATGTACAGAGATGTAATCAGCAAGTTCGAGAAACGCGAAAATGAAGAGTCCGCATCCAAAGAAATTGACAAACCCGAGGTCTACTTCGATGACGACGATGATATTCCTGACGAGGAAGAGGAAGCTTCTGGCCCAAAAATATCGAAGAAAAAGCGAAAGGAAATGAACAAACTGTCCGTGGCAGAGTTGAAGGCGTTGGTTCGGAAACCAGAAACGGTAGAATGGACCGATACGTCAGCATCAGACCCACGTCTCCTCGTTCATATTAAGGCATATCGAAACGTCGTTCCTGTACCTACCCATTGGTCGCTAAAACGGGAGTATTTGTCGTCAAAGAGAGGAGTTGAGAAACCACCATTTACTTTGCCGAAGTTCATACAGGAAACCGGCATCGCTGAGATGCGAGATGCAGCTTTGGAGAAGCAGGATCAAGCAACCCTCAAACAAAAACAGCGCGAGCGTGTACAGCCTAAGATGGGGAAATTGGATATTGACTACCAGAAGCTCTATGAGGCTTTTTTCAGATTTCAAACTAAACCCGAACTGACTCGCTACGGCGAGGTCTACTACGAGGGCAAAGAGTATGAAACTAACCTACGGCATCTCCGACCCGGCGAACTGAGCGATGAGCTGAAAGAAGCCCTCAACATCCCCCCTGGCGCTCCTCCTCCGTGGCTTATAAACCAGCAACGATTTGGACCTCCCCCGTCATACCCTGCACTCAAAATTCCAGGACTAAATGCGCCGCCTCCTCCCGGCGCAATGTGGGGGTATCATCCCGGAGGATACGGTAAACCTCCTGTTGATGAGCACAACCGCCCCTTATACGGGGGTGACATTTTCGGTGTATTACAAACGCAACAAAATATACAGCAGGGGGAACCTGTGGAGAAAGAACTTTGGGGAGAATTACAACCCCCAGAAGAGGAATCGGAGGAAGAAGAAAGCGAGGAGGAAGAAGAAGAGGAGGAAGAAGATGAAAGTGGAACTGGGTTGCAGACCCCGAGCGGGTTGGAGACTCCAAGCGGGATGGTTTCCACCGTCCCATCCGAATTGGGAGGCGCAGAAAGCGTTGTGGGTGAATTTGATGTTCGAAAGCATCATCGCGGGACTGAAACCGAGGAGTCAGCGCTTCCGAGGCCTGCATACCAAGTCATCCCAGAGCACCAAACGCAAGTTCAGGGTTTTTTCGGTGGCGATCGGGCGTATGATCTCAAAGCTGCACAGAGCAATCTTCCAGTACTTGGTTCAGAAGATCATAGTCGAAAAAGAAAAAAACCCGGAGATGTGGACGTGTCTGTTGACCCTGATGCGCTACTTTCCCATGATGGAATCAGTAAGGATAGCTTAAAAACCCTGTATGAAACCCAACGGCAACAGGAGCAAAACCCTAATTGGGGATTCCAAGAGGACCTGAGCGATATGATTGCCAGCGAGAGCCGAAAGCGATTAAAGAAGGATGACGAGCGACGAGCCAAACGGTAATATCTTAGTTGATCGCACACAGAAAGCATATATCTGATTTTCGGGTTTGATCAGGCGTGGGGAACTTAATTGTAACAATATCTTGATTTCTTTTTGTTTTTTCTTAGCTATAGGTAATCGATCATGATTCAGTTTCATCGCCGTTTCTAAGATTACGCACCGGCCGACCTTAAAAAACTTATCATCCCCGAGAATTTATATGTTGTCGAGACCAAGTTCAATTTTCACTTCTCTTCTCGATGTTTTCTTTGTTGGGGGTTTGGATTAGCATCGCGCTGGTGGTGACCTATATTTCCACGTGACTTCACTTTCTTTCAGTGAGATCAATTCATTGAACAACGCAGGACAACTCACGAAACCAAGCCGAGCAGGGTGGAACATGAGGCGTACCCCGGTTTCCTTTTTGCATTGCTACGCTGCGGCTCAGCGATAGCCTTCTGTTCACGGATATTATGTTGTGATCGGCCTGCAACCCTCGTCTTTGTAGCTCTGATTAACGCCTGTTTACAAGAACATCGCCATGGATCGCGACCGAGATAGAAGGTTTGGAGAATCTCTAATCCATTTCATTTTGAGATAGTTGGATTAATATCTACAACTTGAGCCAGTTCCCACATCTTATAGCAACGGGCTAATGGTTGTGGATTTTTGCGATTTTAGATATGATGACGGTCGTCGCTTTGGAGAAAGCTACCGCCCGTCAGAACGAACCCGTCGACATTCTCCACGTGGTGATACTCGCTACGTTCGCTCGCCCCCGCCAAGGGCTCGCTCTCCATTGAGACCCGCAGCTGACACCTGGGCTCCTGATCGCGGAAGGCCTCGCAGCCGATCACCAGTTGTCTTTCGGCGCCGTTCAAGAAGCCCGCTTTTCCGGGGAAGAGACCAGGTTTCTAGTTACAACCCCAGAAGCAGGAGACCGTCACCTGCTCGCGATATCCGACGGAGTCCCCCAAGGCCACGACGCTCTAGGTCCCCACCTCGATATACAAGGGAACGTAGTCCACTTCCTCTAAAAAGAACTCGAGACCCTTCGCCGCTCAACAATTACCACCCTCGCTCTCCAAAAAGAGAGCGCGTCGCTTCTCCGCCTGTACGACCAAGATTTGAACGACCCTGGTCTCCGTCATTCCCTGGATATCCTCGAGGGCCTCCGCGTGCTCGGTCACGCAGCTTGGATCGGCGCGAACCGCGGCGAGAAGTTCCTGCTGAGCGATCATGGCGACGCGGGTCACTCTCTCCACCGAGAGTGCCATCCGGCCACAACTCTGATCGTGTTTCGACGTCGACGTCACAGAGGTCATCCCCACCGTTACAAACAAGCGACAGATTGAACATGCCGCGATCTGGGCGCGTCACGCGCTCTCCAGCCAATATGCCGACACGAACACAATATGAAGCTCGGCAACCGGTAACATCTCCTTCCCGTCCCACCAGATCGCCACCAAGACCAGTAGAGCCGCCGCGGGCGCCTGCTGGTAGGCCGCCGTCTCCTCCTAAGGAACCGACTACGCGTGGGCCTTCACCAAAACTACCGGATAAACCTTTGAGGCAGAGTCCTGGAGGTGATAACGAACGGGGTGAAAGTCAATCGCAAAATGCAAGACCTCCGGGCCCTTCTGGCCCTTCTGGAGGCGTAGGCCCCTCTTCTCTTGGGAATCAGAATGTTGCGCAAGTGCCAAGGATCCCCAGCCAACCCCAAACTTTCAACAAACCGCGATCTGTAACGCCGTTGTCCTCTCCTTCAACCACCCAACCGCCAACCGGTCCCCAGGCTCGTGGAACTAACTTATCGTTACTTTCCGCTCCAACCCGCCCTAGGGGTGGCGTTCCTCGCAGTTCTACTAGGGATGGCCCCAGTCCCCGCGACGGATCTTGGTCAGGATCTGTTCGACACCACTCCCCGCCGGTGCATCATAAAACTCCTAGTGGACATCGTGCTGGCTCGAATTACGAGTCTCATCGTCCTCCTCTGTTTCGGCATAATAGCGCGTCAACCCCACATCCCTACCCCCGTCCTCCACGTTCTACCAACTATCTATCCGGGATACCTCAAATAGTACCTGGTGGAAAACTACTGCCATCCAGCTTGGATCCAAGCCGCGAAAAGCGTCTCGCACAGCTAGAACTCGATAAAGAAAAGCTCTTAGAGCAGATTGAAGACAAACAAAAGGCCAAGCGGGCTGGACTAAGGGAATGGGAGAAACTCAGTAGGGAGAGTTCTACAGGTGCACTGAGGAGTGAGCTTGCCGAGGGCCATTTGCAACGAATGACAGAAGGTGATGGGCTGGGCGGGCCTGCTTTTTGAACAGTTTTCTTAAGATAAGATAAACCTCTTCTAATTCCTGTATTTCAGATTTTCTAGCTTTTCATGAGGATATTCCCGAAGAACATCAATTAGATTATAAGAATCTTTTGCGGCCAACATTCTTTTTCCTCTGATTGATAGGTGTTCATCGGGAGAACAGCAAAGCATTATCTCAAAACCGTGCTACAAAAGCATAGGGAGATGTCTGCTGCTATTTTTTTATATTCTTGAACAATGTCTCAAATCTGTCTACAATGAATACCTGTACTGTGTAGAAAAGGAGTTGTATTGGTGTGCAGTGCGCCACTCCAGGAGCGCATATTAAGTAATATATTATGTAATAACGAGTTCATGCCGTCGGATAAAATAAAATCCGACCACCCCCTAAGCTGCTCAAATCCAAAGCCGCAGCCAAGTTTCGGCGTTGAGAGGCTTCGTGTCAACAAGATCAGCTTCAACAATTGTGCTCTCTGCTCCAGCAACGCTCTTCACACACCTCAGATGCCCTGTTTCATGGCGTCCTCTGCTTTTAGAGAATCCATAGAATCCAGAGCCTCCTTTATCTTGGTGGCCCTTTGCCATCGCGTCGAGAGCATTGTTGATTGAAGGTCTTACTGCCAATTACCCCCCTTACAATTCCCGTTTCAGAGCTCCGAAACATTCGCTATCTCTCGTCGCCAACATGAATATCTTCAGGTTGTTAGGTATGCGCCGGCCATATCTCCTAAGTGCTTTTTTACTGAAGTGTTTGTCCAAAGTTATGGACTTCAATTGCTCTTGTATATTGTTTAATCTCCCTAAAATGGCTGACCCCTTCAAATTTTTATAATCACAGCGGATTTCTCCCATCTGATCTCTATATTGATTCTTTTGCAAAAAATGAAATCATCTAGCGTATGAATACCCTCCCCTCCCCCGTGAGATATACGTCGAGTCCGTACTATTCCCATTGTGGCAGCTGACCTGGGGCTTAGAGCTGTTCCGGAATATCATTTAAATCGCAAGCGTTATATTTTTTCGTTTATATTACACGATACCTAGGTATGTTTTCCTCTATATTGCGCAATCTCCACGAGGCCAATATCAAGCAATAAGTACCAAAATACTCGGCAGTCAGCGGTTATTAACTTCTCGCTCAACAGATCTTTTTTGGACCTTCACCGATTCAGCATACAATACCGTTTTTAAACTCTTATTTATCTCCTCCTCTGCGTATACTATATATCTTATGGTTAACGACTACAAACCTACTCACGACCCAAACATCGATACGTTTAAAGTGCAATATCTGTTAGGCTCAAGCGCTGTTCTCGGTGTAATATTCCCGCCAAGATATGAAATGGCTGAGGTATGTTTACGAAAAGCCTCCATATTTTTACCTCTCAATACGCATTTATACCATGACCCCATGCTAATTAGTTCCTCCTTCAAGATCCTTTGGGCATTCTCAATCTGGTTGGAATCCGTAGCAATTCTTCCGCAGCTCTTCATGCTACAGCGCACCGGAGAGGCAGAAACAATTACGACGCATTACCTTTTCGCACTGGGTATTTACCGAGCACTATATATTCCCAATTGGATATATCGATATTTCGCAGACGGCTTTTTCGAACCAATTTCGGTCATTGCTGGCATTATTCAGACTATTCTCTATTCGGACTTTTTCTGGATTTACTATACCAAGTTCGTCTTTTTCCTTTCCTGGTTTCTTGGACGTAACAAATTGGGTTTTGAACCCGGTCCTTACCCGTCCAATTTGAATAAGATTGTGCTGACTGATCTTCTTTTCTTTTCTTTTCTTTTCTTTTTTTTTTTTTTTTGAGTCCAGAGTTCTTAAGGGCAAAAAGTTTACCCTGCCAGTATAAAAGGGGAGTTCTTGAGAGAGAAACGTTTAACCTGCTCTTGGTAGTATCTAAGGATGTTATAAATAATTTAAAGAAATAAGGAATAAGGAGGTTCTGGCAAATAGGGCGCGCTGCCATTGCTAAAATGGGGAAGAGGATAACTAAGCTATCCACCATGTATTATCAAATCCTTAGGGGTTTTTTATTTTTTTTTTTTCCTTTTGTATCAATCAATCATCTGAGAAAAAATTTTCCTTCCTCCCTTTCCATTATTAAATAATTTTGTTCTCTTTCCACATTTGAAATGACCCAATTTTGTTATTTATTATTTTGATTTTAATAACACTAACGATGGGTTTATTTATGGTGCATGCGCTATCATCCCACCTGAAGAATCACGAGCGTAACAGCGCGTGTAGGCATCAGGGACTCTTTCTTAGAGAAGCAGTTTAATATAATTCAAGAAGCTGTATCTATACACAAAAATTAGAATATCCATCGCTAGATCAGGTTCTTTCTCTTTGGACAAAGAGAACACATGCTTGTCGATGCTGTAAATTTTTTGTCGTTGCCGTTGCAGATGTTCCATTTAACTCTTGGAAAAAGGGGGTGGCAAAAGAGTGTGGGAATGACCGAGAGAGAACACAAAGACAAAAAATAAAATGTAAATAGAATCCATGGACGAAATAATTGAATTGGAGAAGATAGGAGATATATTTAGTTTATAGAAAAGTTCTCTCCCTCAACTTGTGCGTGTCTGAACATCCTCACTGCAAGTAACATAAATTTCCTTGCTCGCCCATTTTATTTTACTTTTCTTTGCCAGGTCACCCATACCATGTATTAGATAAGAAATATAGATTTCAAATAATGAGACAACTAGGGCAGGGAGCTGGAGTCAGATGCGCTAGAAACATGAAAACATTTTGGTTCCCCTCTCATGTAGCTTTCATACGTGGTAAAAGAAAGTGATAGAAATTATGATTCCCAGCCAATGAAAAAGGGATTGAGCTTGAAAGTTTAAGCGGAAAGGGGGAAATTTTTAAAAAAGAAAGCTTAAAAAGAGAAAATAAAAAAGAGAGAAAAGGGAAGAATGAATCAAGTGCCGTATCCTAACCTATACCATCCCAATTCAAGACGACAAAATCCCAATATCGATGGCAATCACCAAATGCTGAGCTCGATAAACTAAATATGCTGTTTGTTCTTCATGATATCCTGTACCGCGCACATCTCCGAAGGTTCTCTCTTATCAATATTGCGAATCGGGAATCCCATTAGCCTCCTCGTACGTAGGATGGTAATCCAGATGTGGCAAATGCATCCCCCCGCTTGGTATGCCTTCCATGGAACTCGAAATGGATCTGGGCAGCGTTCCCAGACCAGTTGGAGCTAATGGGTTGACATGGTGTTGATACTGGCTGCTGTGATGCAGGTGATGATGGCTTCCATGACCATTGTGGCTATTGCCTTGGCCCCAACTTGAGCCTTGGATGTGAGAGGAATATTCATTCTGGGATCTTCCGTTTACGGCACCGGGACGGTTGATTACAGAGTCGCGTCGGGAGCCTGGCGGAGAGAGGAGCTGAGGGTTCGGTAGGGTTGTTAATTTTGGAGAGCATCTGCGGGAGTTCGGGGGTGTTAGACGTGAACCACCCCGGCGGACCTGGCAGGTTGGACAGATTTTAACGAAGCGGGAGATTAGCTCTTTCGGGACCCTATTTCCATATACAGGGTTAGTTTATTGTTCCTTTTTTACTCTTTATCTTGCCCATTTACTAATCATTATTATCATTAGCAGCAGCAGTAACAGCAGCATTGTTATTGCTATTTGCCTTCCGATTTTTTTAGTCATTGCATCGTTCCTGCTGGGCCCCACACGCAACAAACATACCAAGAATACATCCTCCGAACCTGAGCTGAGGTTTTGTCTCGGCCTCCATGTTGGCATTGCTGGTGTGCTCTTGTCAAAATTTTGAACAGTTTCTCCCGAATAGCAACTGGCTTCCCTTCATGGCAGATCAACCGTTTCGACTAGAAAGAGTATTCGAATATCTAATCAGTGGGAAAGCCTAGATACTGGGAGGTTCTTTGAACAAAGAAGAAGGGCATACTTCAGGGGTTCTGCCATCGTTGGGTTCAAGTTTAAACATCTTCTTGACCCAAAATCTAGAACCAGCTACCAGTCAGCATGTGGGAAAATTGTAGGGTTAATGCTAGGTCTGCACAGTAAATACACCACCTGCGTCGTACTGCCAAGGGTAAAGACGTACCGAAATTGTGCAGATTCAACGGCGGTATTTTTAGGGTCTATGAGCACTGTTTTGATATTTCGTGCCCTTCTTGAATGTATCAAGGCTTTGTCTTGTTTTTTAACCGATAGATCCTGGACGTAACTTAGAAGCAACGAAGATATTGCATCAGAAATAGTGTTTCTAGACTGACGATGACAACAGGGAGTTAAAATAATCACCTGGCCACTAGTTGGTCGAATTCCACAACGTCTGGGAAGCCTTCCAAGGGCGGCAGCACTGGTTCAGAGGCCATCGAAAGCTCATTACATGACTCCTGCCTTTCAATCTCAACATCCCGAAGCTGGTCTGGAAAAGCAAGATACCTATGAGAAGTAGGATATCTTGACTGGGCGAGATACTGAGTGGGGTACGGATAGCTATGAGTCAGTTGAGAATGCTGTTGCGTTTGAGAATACACTGCATGCGATGTAGCGTAGTGGGGACCTAAATGGGAGCCTTCGGAAGAAACCGACGATGTTTGGCTGTACGGAGAGAGCAGGTGAGTCGAGTATGAATGCAGAGATGGCTGGGAAATCCCATATTGACTACTCGGAGTGTAGGTGTAGTCCTGCTCCTCGTTAGGTGAATAACTCTGGCTCATAGTGAGATAGGTCGGCCAGTTATGCGGGTGATTGGTCGACGGCAGCTAGTTCCTCCTTCCTGTAAGCGCGCAATCATCAGGAGGATTCTAAAAACGCCCAGTCGCAACATTGGAGCCGAAGCGGCGTCCCAAAAATCACTTTTCTAGTACAAAGAGCCGAAGAGGCGGATGAGACGGATGATTTGACAGAGAGGGGCAGAGGCACGAAAAATTCTGGCTCTATCTCGAGTCGGCCAAACGAACCCACAAGGTGCGGAGCACCACAAACAAAATAGAAGAGTGAGGTACTAACAGTTCAGGAATGTGAATCGGGCTCTTCCCTAGTTTCTAAGAGATCCAGGAATTCCTCAAGTCTGTCGAAAAGAAGAAGATCGCAATCAACCGCCTGGGAGGGTGCTGTTGGAAATTGACAAGGGAGGGAGAGGTGTGCAGCTTCAGCACATATGGATATGGTGAAGGAAAAAAAAAAAAGAAAATAGAGGATTAACTCGTTTTTTATATGAATAAACTGAAGGAACGACGACGGGGATTGACATCCCATGCAGAGAACGGCTAAGAGTTTATTTAATAGTCGTCGAGAGCTCTCCCAGCTGATCTGAGTCTAGTGGTGCCTCAGGGGTAAAGCCAGCAAAGAAGACAGAACAACGGGGTATTTATCTAGAGACAGCAAATGAACCTATGGGATACATCCAACGCTCGACAACTGAGAGGACAGTACAAGGAAGAGAAAACGAAACAAAATGGGAAAGGAATGGGGCAATAATGGCGGACCAATGCCTGCGATGTACCACGAGCTGATTTGCACGATAGGAGCACAAGCGGATATCCAGTGAGGGGAAGCTATTTATTGGCAGATGTACAGGAGGTACATACTCGGACAGAAGTGATATGGCTGACCTCGTCAAGGCTGCTGCTGTTGAAGCATTTGTCTGGTGGCATCGATAGCTTCCGAGCGAATATATTATTCTTCAGTGTATTTTTTCCTGAAAAGGGAGAACCAACTAACTGCCCGTTTCCATGCGGCTAGAGTGATAAAGAGCTCGCCGTGTCTTCAACTGAGTCCCAAAACAGGGCGGTTTCGTCGTCTTTGGTCCCTTGTTTTGCTGCAAGTCATACCTCCGACGACGACGAAGCCCGCAGGGATGCCGCGGCGGGCTGAGGTGGGCTCGCAGTATTAAGTGTAAATATATCATAGGCCATGGCAATCTCTGCTGGTTATGGATGGGCTTGCGGGAGACAGCCACGTTGAGACCTGTTCACCCAGGGCTTTTTCTGGCCAGCAGGCTACTATACTCGACCCAATCGAGGGCAGCAGAGGTCGGCGCTGTCAGTTATCACCAAGTGTCTCAAATAATGTGTTAGGCTTACTTAGCGTGACGGCGAAGGATGACAATCACCGTTGGCGTCGAGACTCGATCTCTGAAACTTGCACCAGGAACGCCTTGGTTGGCCTCCGTCAGAGTATGTGGATTATCGAGCGTGTTGGCGCTGCACACGATCTACGTGGTGGGGAGTCGCCCAGAATAGCTGCGGATGGTCTGTCCACGCATAAAGTTATCTTTGACCACACCTGCACAAAGCCTAAAAACTACAGAGTACACCCTCGCAATGCGTTTTCCGCTCAATGAGAGCTGCACAATGACCTACGTACAAGCGAAAACCCTGTGGGGTTTTCCGTTTTCATGCCCGCGACATACAACCTCTTCCTTATCCGGTATTGTTCTTGGATAGAACTATCGGATTCTAGAGACGATTACACGTATATCAACACAAGCGGAAGAATCCCTAGCGTATTCACGCTGGTTGCTGGCTAACGACTCGACCCAGCATGCCATACCGACCGTAGACCTGGCTTTGTGGGCATGCATATACAAATTTCCATCCATCCCATCGATTGCTGCGAGAGCGGGAGCCCACATCTGAACCAAGTTCTGCTTCCCTCTGAAGCTGGTGATGCGTCGATGTAGGCGCCTCCTCCCCCCTGGATGAATTGACGGGGTTTAGCAGCCAATAAAGGGTGTGGTGCATATGCTGGCTCTCCGCCTCCGACAAATCCCACTGATCAATCCTTGCTCCCTGCCTGGCTCCGCGCCGGGAGACTGGGGTATTTGCCCTCCGGCCATTCCCACGCTGCCCAGATCTTGCCCGATTTAGCTCCATTTGTATTGAGGCCTGACCAGGCATCAGTCTCAGGATACACATCGAAATCATCTCTTATGGTTCAAAATATGCCTAGATTTCAGAATATCGCTGCGTATCCGTGCGAAGTGATGTGAGTGCACGCACAGGAACATGGACTGAATACGCCAAAACTGGCCGAAGACGAGAAATAAATAAATTAAAATCAAATACTATTCCTGTGTTACCTGCATGGCTACCGAGATATTGGGGCATGGAATGGTGGCTGGCTGGCTGCTAACTGGCTGCTTGTGGATGAGGATGGGATGAACCCTTCAAACACCCGTGCCGGCCACTGGGCTGTCCCTACGTCTGGCAAATCTTCACATTCTGGGAAGGGGAAAGAATCTATGCAAGATGTGTTGGGTGAACAGCGGTGTATACGTCGAAGCATTGAAGAATGTTGTCAGCATCGTCGTGCATAAAGTTACGGAACAAGCCTTTCCTCCCATTTTTCCCATTTCTTTTCTTTTTTTTAACCCGAGGTGAGGGAAAAAAAAAAGTAAATATCTTCTTATCGAAAACTACTGTTCATTCCTAATAGTAGGCACCTAAGGACTGCACCAAAAAAAAATTTAAGCGCGACTAGGTGATTGTGATCGAGGCTCGCTTTTTGCAATCTTGAAAACATAAAAATAGGAGTAATGAGCTCCATCAGTGACGACGGAGGAATATGTCCGATGTCTTTTGGATGCTGCCAATCCAAGGAGCGCTGTCCAAGTATTTCTGCTCGTTTGCTTCACTGGTCAGACTGAAATTGGCATTAGTCGGCAGACTCGTTGGGCACTCATAGAGACTTTATTTCTGCCAGCATTGCTCCGTTGAGCCAAATACCTCGTTTGTGATCCCCCCACTCACCACATATGTTTTCTTTTTCTCTCAATTTTTTCTTCAGTCTCGCCCGCCTTTTTGATCAGCAAAGCCGTGCCCTAGAGCTATCTACCTTTGAGACTGCATCAAATCAGGTTGAGGTTGTCACAGCTGTTGTCAACCTGGCTTCAGTAATTAGAGGTTCTGTTGTCCGTTTCATCCTCCACACATCTATCAACCCATGGCATCCTCCTTGACGGAGCAAAAACAAAACAATTGTTTGGACTTCTTTGCTTGGACCCTGGAGCAAGATATGAAATGCAGATAAAAACACGATTGTTGTTTGTTTCCTTTGCGAAGGAACTTGTGGCATTGCCGGAGTGTGAATCCGCACGAATCAGCTAAGTAAATTGTCGTCACCAGCTCCCTTCTCTCACCCCAAAGAGCTAACACCCACGACACCATCCTTGAGCCCGAGGTTGTGCGTTCAGTTGTCGTTCAGGCCGTAGGACCTGCATCTCATATCGGGACCTCATGGACCGCAGCCGCTGAAGATCCAGAATTTATTTGAAACTAGGCTCAAAATGGCGGAGGTCACAAAACAAGGAGCCAGTTGCAAAGAACGAGGCTTCCCTGAAGATTTCTTTCCTTGGCTCCTGGAGTCACGGCCATTGTATCGTATGTCTGGTCAATAATACGTTTGTTTGACCAAAGCGGCACTGGCACAGGCATTCGAGCGCGGTGCACTGTGCTGTACTTGAGTGGCTTCTTCATGAAGTTACAACTTAATACGAAGTGCATCATCTGAACAAAACTCCCATGCCTGCTCTCAATTATACAATTCTTTTATGCGTACTTCCAGACGTCTTGACTCGCTTTGCAACAGGTATGAATTATGGAAAAAAAATCCATTTTATCATCGATTGAGCACGGATCTACGGAGTATATGTCATAACCTTTGACCCCCAGCTCACAGACGCCTTCGGCTGAATCACTGGCGGTATGCTGGCTCAGAGGAAAGCCAAAAAAAAAAAAAAAAAAAAAAAACAACCAAACGCCCTGCATCTGAGCAATCCGAGAAATAGGCAAGATCATCGCATTTACTAGTCGAGATTTTTGCCGGTCACCTATGTTTGCCAACGCGTTCATTGACTTTCCATGATTATTTTTAATTCTGATGTTTTTTATATTTTTATAGTTTTCTGCCAAACAAGCCACAAGAAAATATAATTCTATTTTGGGAATCTTGACATATATGTGGAACAGTCGCTTCTTGTGTTTCGGCCGTATGCCAAGGGTGTGGAAGGTGTAAAGCTTGCTTGATTGAAGGATTGCTAGCTACGTGGATAGTTATGGTGGGAGGCTTATTAATATAAGACCTGCAGCAGGTCTGACACCCCCACTCATCAGAGTAACTATACACAATGCTTCATACAAAATTCACCTCCAACACAAGTACAGATACATAAGCGACTGGAAAAAGTGCAATAATGAAAAAAAAACCAGTCAAATTCACTCATTTTTATCCTTCTATCTCTTCATCTTAATAATCTCCTTTCAATGTGTATATTTCAATGTTTCAAGCAGCCCCGGTGGCCGAATGGGTAATGCGGCCACCAGGTAGCGCCTTGGCGTGGGGACCCAAGGCGTGTGGGTTCAAAACCCACAAGGGGACAACATTACATCCGGAGCCAACTTCTCAGCTTCTAAAATAAAGGGATGTGAACTTGTCAAGTAGATACCTTCAGATGAACCTACTATCTGATTTAACTTATTGTTTCTAAGCTGGAAATCTGTATTGTGAGTATCAAATCCTGTCTTTCATTAATTTTTCTATATTTCTATTATATTTTTAATATCATTCAACATTAAGCATTCCCTCTGTATAACCAACTCTTCTCTGTATTTAACATTACACAAGGACTCATCATAAGCACTGCTTGCATATAAGTATAACAGAAAAAGAAGAAGAAGAAGAAGAAGAAGAAGAAGAAGAAGAAGAATAATAATGTTTCAAACAGCTTGATAAATTTGTCTGCTTTGTTTTCAATGAAAGAGAGATATTGAATTAATATCTCATTTTTATGAATGAGATCTTAAAGAAGATAAAATCAGATCTTTATATATTTAAATCAATATAAAATTACTTTAGAAAAAAAAAGTTTTATTATAGATTTATTATCAATATAAATTATATAAATCAATTCATTATCTAAGATGAGAATCAGACAGTCATCAACATTCAAATTATTGAAATGAGATGAAATGAATTCAACATCTTTTAGAAGTTTATGTAAACAGACAAACTTATAAACAATTTTGAAAAATATAATATATTCAGTCTCAGTTGATAATTTGAAGATCTTAGTTTGTCAGCAACTGCATCAGATTATGAAATCATTTATTATACAAATGATGTAGTTGATGATTGATCAAAATCTTAAAATTTTTATCAGCTCAATCAATGTCAATATATGTCACAAATTCAATATCAACATTTTTATGAAAAATTATACTTTCATTAATTAAATCTTACAAATATTGAAATTTTTATTTGAATGCAGCTCAATTCCTTAAAGTAGAGTGAGTGAAATTATTTCAGAAAGTTTGTGACAAAGTTAAAATCAGAATGTGTATTGATAATAAGATATTACAAAAATTCAATATTTGATTAATAAAAATGTAGTGTAAATTCCATTGTGTAAATAACTGATTCTTCATCATCATTCATGAAACCAACATTCTTCTTCATAAAGATGGATATAAAGTGGCAGTCATTCATCAAAAATTTCTTCAAAAAATTCTTGATAAAAAGAGATTGGAATAATATAAACAAATTGATATTTTTTTTAATCTTCATATCTAAGTAGCAGTTTGAATTGCTTATATTTTTAATCTTGTAATTGACTGCAATTTCAATCTTAATTCAATTCAGATCTTCAATTCTCAGATTGTAGAGATGAATATTATTCATATATATAATTATATAAATTTTCTTTATATCATGAATGAAAAGCTCAGCATTATAAAACTTGATATAAAAATTTGACTTCAATAGCAATTTTTACAACTTTTTATATTATAAAAATACTGCTTATTTAAAACTGTAAAGTCTCTGTATTAATTCATAGCCAAGATCATCATAATTCTCACAGAAGTTTATAAACTGACTCATATAAATTTATTCATCAATTAATAATTGAATGTTCAAAAACACAATTATTATATTGATTTACGGAATATATCATTTTCAAAATGTTGAGGTTGCTATGAAAGTTTAGAATATAAAGATGGAAACGATAAGTGTAAAGATTTTTAAATAATTAACATTTTTTTATTAATAATTGCTATATATCATTCTACAAATTTTATAGTAAACAATTTTATCTATATTATTGAACTTTTTATCAAATACTCATTGATTGTATAGAACTATCATTTAAAAAATTCTTTTAATCAATCATTAAATTTCAATCTGCTTCCAATAATTAATCTCTTTAATATAAATGTAATAATAATATTTCCACTCAGCAGAAGCTTTAACATGTGTGAGATTTTTTAAAATTAGAAAAACAATAATTTCAAAATCAGAAGATAGATTTTTAAAACTGTTTCTCACTGAAGATTTTCTCATTAAAATGATATTTTTTGTAGATGTTGAAGAATTGTCAGATTCAATAGTGGATTTCAGAAAATTCAATGTATGTTACATCAAAAAGATAAATATTCTCATTGAAATCTCATAATCAATTCACCAATTACTTATAAACACTAGAAACAACAGATGTTTGAATTGAATATTTTTATTAATAAAAAGATTATTAATTGACAGAGTAAATGAAGAGTTTCAAATTGCTAAAGAAATTGCTACAACTGTTTGACAAACTGCAGTGAATTGAATTTTCAGATCATAAATAAGTGAAGTTGATAAATTTACAAAATGAAGATTCTTTTAAAAAATGATATTTTTTAATATGTA